CACAGGCTCGTACAGTGGCATATAAAGCTCAAACTATTCGGAATAGCTTCACAGCCACCGGATTAGTGCCTTTCAATCCAGATCGAGTTCTTCAACATCTTAATATTCAATTGAAGACTCCAACCCCCCCTCCAAGTCGATCAAGCAATACAGCATCATCCTGCTTACAAACACCTCAAAATATACGCCAATTTGTACGCCAGTCAACTACAATCAATAAGCGTATAAATGAGCGTACAGGAAGCCTGAATCAGAATGAAGAAATCAATCAGGCAGTTATACGGTTGTCAAAAGCCTACGAAATACTAGCGAATGATGCTTTACTCGTACGGAAAGAAAACCGTGATTTACGAGCTGCGCATGAAAAAGAGAAGCAAAAGCGCAAAAGATCTAATAAACAGATATCTATTGAGCAAGGGATTACTAGAGAGGAAGCTCAAGTGCTCGTACAAGGTCAGGTTGAAGCATCTCAAGCTGTTACTACTGCTCCAGCTGAGCCGGAGCTCCCAACTTCTCAAGCAGTCGTACGCCGCCAATTTCGCTGCAGTGGCTGTAACGTTGAAGGGCACAGGATTAACCAATGTCCTAATCGTACTAGTAATTAAATTTTTGTATATAATTTGTATATGGTTGAGAAATTGGGATTTGAAATCAATATAGAGAGTTATTTTCCGGAGAGGTGGCCGGTTCGCTTACATGGCCGGTTCGCTTACCGATTACGTTATGGTGTCGAGGATTAGGTAAGCTAAACCTAATCAAGGGGAATTACCCGTCGCTTCACCTCCCCCCACCCTATTCGGACTGGGGTTCGGCCCGGGCTCAACGCGCACATGGGCTCAACGCTCAAAATATTCAAATTCTTCAAATTAATGCTTATAAATCCACCAACGCCATGTAAATTATATAAAAAATCTAGGCACATGAGAAATACATATATGATTTACCTATTACCCGTAGAATCAATGAAAAAACCCAAGTTTTGAGGCTCTCTTGGAGCCTCAGCATCCTCCGCCTCCGGCACCCCAAGTACGTGTTGTTTATGAATCCTCAATAAATCCCCATTATGGCGGCGTTTTATGAGGCGATTCGCATCTTTTACATAGAGTGCGCCTGAGGCTTTTACCTGACGCTTGGTTTTTTTGTTATTTTTGCGTTTTGCTGTGTCGCGCAGCCTTGCAAAATCCTCACGGTGAAGCTCACCTAATCCCGCCATGGCGAGGCTGCTTGAATTCACGACTTTTATACGCCGTACGAGGCCAGGTTTTGATTCCTCCAAAATATCCTTTATACCCTCGATTGATTTCTCTATCTTATTGATATATCGACGAAGCGCAGTGACCGTTGATGGTGGAGAAATTGATTTCGTTGTTGGTGAGCTGGGAATAGTGTCATCGATCTCGCCATAAATTTTTAATGTATTCCCATCATCAATAATTGCCTCATCTGGGTGAGGCAATTTGCTCAATACGATATCAGGATTATATGGCCAAATCCCTCGATCTTTCCAACCGTGGCGAATAATTCGCGGAGTAAAGGTCTGAATTCGAATATCCCGTAATTCCTCAAAAAAGTCATTTTTGTTGAAATCGAAGCCTCCGAGCCGAGCAACTTGATTTACCACTCTTCCATGAACGTGCTTATATTGCTGAAAAGGCACTCCATCGAGTGGTTGTAATAGATGCGTGGAATGAGGTGGAAATCTGAATAATCGAATGCGATAAATTTCACAGTATTGAACGAACTGTATAGTGAGATGGGTTGTATGATTATCCATAATTAATAATCGCCATTCGAACGTATATTCTGGCTTTGTATAGTGCTGAAAATGTTGAAGCCATTCAAATGCGATCTCATCCGTGATAAATCCATTTGAAGCAGGAGCAATAAGCCACTCCGGATCCTGTATATGTCGATACCATTCCTCCATATGTTTTTCGCCTTTTGGGATAATTAACGGTGGAATGACTCTCCCTTCGGCATTTATACTCTCAACGACGGTAAGAGATTCTCGAGAAGACAAAGAGGAAACTCTTTTTGCTGTTTTTGGGTACTTTGTGACCACTGATTCGTTTTTTCCTTGTCCGACAATGAATCCGGTCTCGTCAAAGTTCCATAGATTTTTGGGTGTAATATGAAGCTCTTGCATCACGAGTTTTAAGTCGATAAACCAGCACTCAATCTCGCCATAATGCTCGGCTCCTGTTCTATCAACTTCCTGCGGTTTTTGCTTGATTCTTTGATAACCCTCTGGCAAGCGAGTAAGGAATCGATCAACCCAGGTTTTACCAACGCCGCGAGGCTCTCCGGGACCGGTAAAATCTTTACGAAGCAAAAAATCGGCACTCTGCTCAATTTGTTGTTTGTTGGAGGTGCTCCTATGTTATCTAGATACTCAATCCATAGGAAAAGCGCTTTTTCTTGATCTAGCGATAATAGGCGGTTCGTAGGTGCCCTTTTGGAGCGAGAGGGTATCCCCTTGACGCGTCGGGACAGTCTATGGCGAGAGACCCCAAATTCACGCGCTAATTTCGAGATATTTTGATTTTGACCACTTTGATACGCGCTGACAGCCTTTGCAATTTGCTCTTCCTCTTTTTTGTATTCCTTAGGTGCCATTTTTGCGGTGTTTTGGACGATTGTAAACGATGGCTTGAGAATTTGAATATTTTGAGCGTTGAGCCCATGTGCGCGTTGAGCCCGGGCCGACCCCCAGTCCGAATAGGGTGGGGGGAGATGAAGCGACGGGTAGTCAATCAATATTCCCCTTATCAATTGTCAATATTGATTGACGGCATTGATAATAAAAATATTGACAACAACACTGGATGTGTGTGTGTGTGTGTGTGTGTCATTATTTTACGGCCGTAGGCCGTGATGAATCACTGCCTACCCATTCCCTAGTGGGACAAAGGCCGCCAGGGGGTAAGCCCTGGGTGTCAAGAATTATATACAGGGTATGACTCTTTGGCGCACTTACATGGCTGCTGTGGTCAGATAGATAACCTCTACATGTAGAGGGAGAATGTTGCTGCCAGCTGCAGTAGTCTACCTACTCCCTGTGACCGAATCTAACATGTTTAACACTAATGCAGCTTTAAAGAGGGAAAAGGAAAGACAATGAAAACAAAGGAAGTAATTAGTTATAAGTCTCTTAGCTTATGTCCTAAGAGGGGGGTGTCAAGGGCAGATGTCCTTAAAGAATTGGGTCTCCGTAAGCTATTTGGCTAGTCTGATGGCACCCTTTAGGGTGCCTAGGAGGAAAGGAATAACTTCTAAAGGGTATCCAGGAAATCTAGGAGCTTTCCTTTTTACAATCTAGTAGAAGATAAAGTGGATTAGGGACTTTCTCGCACCACATTAGCATAAGAGGTGGGCATCTATGCGGTTAAACCATTCATAGTAGTCTGCGAAGTCTCCGTGCTTTGTGCGTGCTGCGAGGATTCGTCCTAAGATATGGTGGGGAAGCTGGAGTTCAGCTGGATGTCTTAAGAAGGTGGTGATTTCAAGGTCTTGATAGGCCTGCAGGGCCGCTGTCTGCCAATACGTCTGTGCTCTTGAGGCAGCTTGTAATCTAGTATGTTGCTTAAGTGCTATATATGACTATGAATGAGAGGTAGGGATGGTTCTCTCCGCGCTCTCTTTAGTGGCGCAGTCTGCTGCTTTATTTCCAGGGATATTCGCATGTCTAGGCACCCAGCGAATTCGGACTGCTGCCCTCAATTTAGAGAGTCTCCTTCTTGATGGCAGGTAGCGCGAGTATATTGAATGACTTGAAGATAGTTTGGGAGGAGCCTGTGGGTAAGAAGAGGAGTTGGATAGCGATCTTAAGGATTGTCAAGGCATATCCAAAGATTCAGTGTATGTTAGGCTGTTGAGTGTGTTATTGCAGCTTTCAATCTAGCAAGAGCTGCTTCTGCTTCTGCGTCGAAGACTTCTTTGTTGGGCTGAAGGGGTATTAAGCTACGCAAGAATTGGGAGCCAGCTTGGAAACCAATATAGCTACCACCTGCTTGGCCATTTTCTAATTTAGATCTATCTGAGTAGATTATGATGTCATTATCTAGGATGGATTGTAGGAATATTTGGAAGTTGTCCGCTGCTTCTTCTCTTATGAGGCCTGATAGAGCGCTAACCCATATTAAGGTTGCTTCTCTGGCTTCTTTTGTACTCCAGGGTGGATGTAGCAGTGGGTTGATCTTTCTCATGTTAGGGAGTGCGAGCACTCAGCGTGCAAAGCGGCTGGTTGGGTGGCCTATTTGGGCTATGGCTCTGGCTTGTCTTCGAAGAGGGTAATATAGGTCTAGGTGGCTTAGGCGTGTGGATGCAGTAAGGGTAATTTAATCTAGCTTAATCTTAGAAGGGTAAAACCCTGACTCTCGGTGTAGGACAGGTACCTGGGTAGTGTGGAAAACAGGCAGAACCGCCCTTGCCCCTATTAGAATGACAGTAGATAGATCCATTAGATGTTTGTTTACTAGGTTTGAGATTGGGAGAGTGTCTGCCTGAGGGCGGGAACGAGGATGGGTGCGGCCTGGCCACCACGTCTCTGCGCCGAAGTAGGCTTTACGGAGGATACAGGCCAATATGGCCTGTTGGAGAAGGTGTGGCCTCATTCCATGGACCATATTTCCTAGCGAGCGGAGGGCACTGGCTATAGTGAGCGCTTTGGATGTCATTTCTTGAATATGCTAGTGGAAGGAGAGCTTTTTGTCGAAGAGGATCCCTAGCCAGTGTAGGTATAGGCGGTCGGTTGCTTTGATGACTATGACTGAGCCTATTGAGACTGGGGGGGTTATTATAGGGTCTTGGTCTGCTCGATATCAGGAGAAATACATGAGTTTGTATTTATTTAGTGTGAAAGTGATTCCTTCAGCAGTGCTCCATTTAATTGCCTCCTATAGAGATTTGCTTAGCGTCTAGCAGTTAGTTATGAGGGATGGGGAGATTGCTAGAGTTGCTCTATCATCCGCGTATCCAAATCTAGTTCTAGGGTTGCCCATGTGAAAGAGTGGTGCAATGTAGAGCATAAAGAGAATAGGGGAGATAGGGGAGCCTTGGGGAAGGCCATATAATATATCTGTATGGGGGCCAAGTTTATTATCAAATCAGATCTATATAGTTCTTTTCATCATGAAAGAGACAATCCAGAGTATCAGATTGTTTAGCCATTCTTGTGTCTGAAGCCGGTAGGTGAGTCTCCCTAGAGGGACATTATTGAATATACCTTCCACATCAAAGGTTAGTAGAGAAGCTGTTTTCCCTTGGTTCAGGGCTTATTCTATGTCGTGTGTTAGACATGTGGTTAGATTGATTGCTGATCTTAGAGGGAGGGCTCCAAATTGTTGGCTTGCTAGGACCTTGTAGTGGATTGCTATCCAGGCCATGTTCTGTGCCACTAGATGTTCAAGGCCCTTTCCTAGGACTAAGAGGAGAGTGATAGGCCTATAGGATCTAGAGTTAGTCCAGTCTTCCTTACTAGGCTTTTGCAGAATAGTGAGAATCGCGTGTCTAAAGTACTTTAGGTGATATCCTAATCGCAGACAGCCTTAGAATAGGACTAAGATCTTGTCCTTGATCAGTGGCCAGGCTATCTTTAGGATGTTAGTTTGGAGTTTGTCTTCGCCTGGAGCAGTGTTTCCAGCCTTTAAGATAGACTTTTCCACTTGTGCCATGATAATCTTAGGGAACGGAAGGGTAGCGGTAGGGACAGCTAGGCATTCTAGCGAAATATCCCCTGCCTCTGTTGTATTTTGAAGAAGGTTGCGAACTAGTAGATCTCGCTTCTCCTGAATAGAGACTGCAGGTGGATCATTCAGCCGTAAAGGGTCTTTAAGAGGAGGGCTTCGGTATGAACCCCTTGATTTGTGCCATTTGCTGATATCGAAGACCTCTTTCGTTTGTGCTGTAGTTACTAGCTTATTGCGCCAGAACTATCTTTGTGCTTTTCTGATTATTCTGCGAAACTCATCTTTAGGTAATAGTTCTAATTGATACGCCTATAGTGTTTCTTTGCATTCTAGGTTCCACTATGGTTGTCCATTTCTATAGGGGAGGGACCTCTTGGCAGAGCCTTTGTACGCACTGTGTATTGCTGAGGTCAGGCCTTGAGCTAGTGACTCTAGATCGTCCTTCGAGGAGTCCAGCGGTTGGATCTGTAAGAGGTTGGTAGAAAGGAGAGATAGAAAGAGGGGTTAATCGAGTGTATTGAATCTTATTTTTTGGGTAGGTAGTGTGTGTCTTTGGTCCTATGGGATAGTGGTTAGCAGTGGTGTATAATTAGAGGTTAAGTCTAGATAGGGGGTGGTGCTAGTGTGTAGTCTGCTCAGGCTAAAGAACTGGTAGTAAAGGCGAGGTCTAGAACATTACCTCTTGCGTGGGTTAGGTAGTCTATTTCTGATGTGAGAATAAGTCCTAGGTGGTCTAACTATTCAATAAAAGGGTCCGCTGATATGGTGGGCTGGTAGGTTAGTGAGGGTTGCCATCTAATATGTAGAAGGTTGAAGTCTCTAGTAAGAAGGGTAGGTTATGAGAATAACGTCTCTGGCAGGGATATAAGGGTCTCTATGGCTTTTCCAGCTCTTGTGGAGCCAGCTGGGGCATTGTAGGCATTAATGGTGAGGATTGATTATCCAGTTAAGGAGGAAATTTACAGAAAAAGTAGGTCAGATAGGATTACTGGATCCTTAATGATAGGGCATAGCTGGGATGCTTGTAGGCTGGTATTTTTCCAGACATAAGTAAGAACACAAGGCCGTCCAGTTACTGTCCAGCTGTCTGTCGGAGAGAAACATTTATATAAAGAGTGTCTCTTGGTGATTTTCCAGCTTAGATTAGTAAATATATATAGTTCCTGTATAAGTAGGACGTCGATGTTATTAGTGAATGCGAGTGAGAGGGTAATAGTGTGGGGATTAGCACCCCATCTAACATTTAATTGAAGTATTGTAAGGGGTTCTTTCCGAGTGGACCGCTAATAGATCATAGTCGTTCTTCGAGAAGTGAGTTGAACCAGTTTTATGGTTTAGGGATTGCAAAGTGTATAGCGCTGGCTGTGACTGGAGGTTCCTGAGAGAGCGCTAGAGGTGGGGGAGTGGTTAGGCGGAAAGATGAGATGACCTGGTTTTGTATAGATAGCGTATCTATAACCATGGACTATTCTTATGTAGTTGTAGATGACTCCGAGGAGCAGCCTTGTTCTGTACGAGCCTTTACTAGATTGATAGTGTATGATTTGCGGATTTCTGCTTGTTGGGTTTTAGTGCGAGAGGTGCCTGCTTTAGGGCGGAGTGGGCAGTCAGAGAAGTCTGCTGAATCCTAGTAAGGAAGTAAGCATTGGTAATAGTGCTAAAGATGCAGAGCTGAGTTGGGAGAGAGGTCTTAGTGTCTTTAGAGAAGTTGACAAACTAGCTCAAAGATAGTGAGTTGGCGTTAGTAGCACTAGCGGTGGTCTTACTGATGGATATAGGTCTATATCCTGTTTACTTGGCGATTTCAGTAGATAGTATTGTTGGGTTGACTAGGATTATAGAGTACTAGCCATTGATAATTTGGTCAATCTTTCTTGGTAGATTTGTGACTCTGTATGAGATCTAGTGTGAGCTCTATTCGATTTGGCAGTCACCAAAGTAGGTAGATATGACTTCTTTCTGGGCCTTAAGGGTTGAAAGGGCCTCCTTAGATGCAGGACAGAGGGCAAAGCCAGTCTTTATCATCTGTACTTCTTTTAGAGCATTACTGTTTGTGCCTAGTTAGGACTGAAGGCTAGAGAAGATGGCGTAAGCATCCATCTTTCTAGCCGCGTGGTTAGGTGGGAGACGCATGAAGAGATGGTGGTCAGGGAGAGATTGTTTCGCATTAGATATAGGCTTTTTTATAGATGGCTTTATTTGTTGTGCAGCAGTAGCTAGCTTAGCTAGGGTGGGTTTAGTAATTGTTGCGTAGGAGGACTGTGCAAGGCCGGAGGGAGGACAAGAGGGGGGAGGAGTAGGGGGAAGGGGACTAGGGGTAGGGGAGGGGGCTGGGGCAGGAGAAGAGGTAGAGGGAGTAGAAGTGATATTACTTATATAGGCATTAAAATAGTGTTGAGCCATGGTAGCTAGATTATCGCTTAGAGTAGCGAGAGCTCTTTGTAGATGAGGGCTGAGGCTAGCCAACTGGTTGCGGTGTTTGTCGAGAAAAGCAGCTATTGGGCTAAAGATTTTCTGACCCTTAGCTGCTCTGGTGGTAGCAGCAGTGGTTGTCTCTTGCAAAGCGGTTTGTAGAGATCACTTGTCAGGTTCAGAGCGACTCCGTGCCATGGCGTTGCGGAACGCGTTTTAGCGCGTCTGGGCCTTGTAGCCTGGGGCTGGGAGCGGAAGAAAGAGGAAAAATATAGGCAGGAATAGAGCGTCTGACAGCGCAATTCTACTCAAACAATTGAATACAATCTCTGTGTGTACAATCTCTGTGTGTACAATCTCTGTGTGTACAATCTCTGTGTGTACAATCTCTCTCTGTGTGTGTGTGTGTGTGTGTGTGTGTGTATATTTAACGGCCGTGGTTCGTGACTCGCACGCTTCCCACCGATCCCTATTGGGACATAGGCCGCCGAGGGGTAAGCCTCGGGTTTCAGGTCCTATCAGATTTATGTACAAATAAGAGACTCTTTGGCGTGTTTCCATAGCTGCCGTGGTCTTACAGGGAGGTCCACTTTGAGTGGGTTTTGGGTATTTGCCAGCTGCAATGATCCACCTACGCACCATGACCCATAATTCTACCACCATCGCAATTAAGCAGTACGTTTCAGAAGAAGGAGGGGAAGAAGGAAAGATAGAAAGAAGGAAAGAAAGAGAGAAGGAAAAGAGAGATATAAGGGGGAAGTAGGGCTGACTTAGCTAGGTGCTAAGGAGAGGTTGGCGAGGACAGATGTTCTCAAAGAAACGGGTTTCTGCTAGCCATGTGGCTAGTTTTTGTGCTCCTTTTGCAGTGCCTAAAAGAAAGGAGATGACCTTAGAAGAGGGCCCAGGAGGATGAGGGGCTCGTCTCTTAGCTATATGACAGAAGAAGAAGTGCAGAGATACTTTTCATGCTCCGCACCAACATAGTAGATAAGCATCATCATGATTAAAGCATTTATGATAGTTTACAAAGTCTCCATGACCGGTACGGGCCGCGATGATGCGGCCAAGATCAAGTCGGTTAAGCGGAAGCTCTTCAGGGCGCTTAGGAGATATAGTTATTTCTAGGTCTTGGTATGTCTGTGGCGCTATAATCTGCCACTGTGTCTGAGTAGTGGAAAGGGCTTGAGTCTTGCTTCCACATACCAAAAATGGATCAATCCAAATCCGATGGGTCCCCAGACACACCAAAATCCCTGAGAATAAAGCGGCTGATCTCACTGCTATAGAGGGAGCTGTCTCTGCTTCCCTCTCTCCATCCAAATCTTCATATGCCTCGCTAAAGAGATACACCCTCTCGCGTAGTGGCCAGGCGGCTGCAAGGGTGCGGAAGGATTCAAAGACCTCTTGAGAGGATCCTGTAGAGGGAGATAGGAGGCGCGTGGCAACTTCCAGGTTGTCAAGGCAGATCCATAAGTTGGTAGCAAATTGAGCTGTTGGGTATGCTATTGCTGCTTGAGCACCAGCTAAGGCAGCTTCTGCTTCTGCGTTGAAGACCTCTTTCCCATATCCATATGAGAGTGAGGAGTGGAGGAACTGATGGTGTACTTGAAATCCAATATAGCCACCCCCTGCATGTCCGTCTACCAGCCTAGATCCATCTGAAAAGATTATAATATTAGAGCTAGGGATGGTGCGTTGAAAAACCATGAAATCAGCCGCTGCCTGTCCCTTAGTGCGTCCCATGGGAGCTCCTATTCGAGCTTGGGCATTCTCACGAGACTCGCGAGGGTGCCAGGGAGCGTATTGGAGAGGGTTTATCTGCTCAGAGTTGGGGAGGGCCAGTATACGGCGGGCAAATCGGCTGGTTTGTTGGCCATTACTGGCAACCTGTTCTGCGCGTCTTCGAAGTGGGTGGTAAGGGTCCAGACGCTGTAGGCGGATAGTTGCAAGGAGGGCTATTCGATCTAGTTCAATTTCTGGTGGAGAGAATCCAGACTCTCGGTAAAGGACAGATATTGGTGGTCACTGACGCTCATTATCTTGAAGATACCTCGCTCCGGTCCAAGTAGGTGATCCATCCATCTCCTTCCAGTTGAAATGAATTTAGACCACAGTGGAATATATGTCAAGTCCTGCAAGCAGAAACTTTCCTGGTAGTGGGCGGGACGGCATCGTTCGCGCTGAGGTCGTGGCTCTCGTGCCTCGCCAATAGGTCCCTGAGTGGGGTTCGATGGTAGGTCTTGCGTAGGTACGGATCTGACGATTCTTTCTCGTCGTATAGTTGAGCGCTCTCATCCCGCGGTTTCTTGTCCTTTGTATAGAGTTTGACAACAGTTGAGGGGAACTCGGTTGGACCGCTAGGAAGCTCGACCGTACACGTTTTTCCATCTATCCCAAACAATCCGCATGGCCCTGCGGGCGGGAGGTGGTCGTCCTCGATGGGGTATTGCGAGTGTTGAGTGCGTTACATCACGTACCTTGGTGCCTGTCGATCCATACTGCGGAGCACTACAATGTCCTTGTCCATATATCTTTCAGCCAATGAGCTGGTTGCAAATGGGTGCCTTTGTCGATATGCAGGACTGGTTTCCTATCGATAAACATGACATCGACGATGAAGTCCCTGATTCATATTGACGTCGTCCTGTAGGTTGAATCTGAAGCGTCGGGAGGATTGTCGTGTCTCTGGAAGTGGTCTCATACCCCCTTTATCAACTTAAGCGCTTCTTCCCCCACGTGATGACCTCCTCTTTCGAGGACTCGACGGACCTTCTCAACGGATGAATTTTCAAATCGACGGTGCAAATGGCCCAGTTCAGTCTCGGTAAAAAAACATGGGTTTGAGTCGAATGACGTAGCAAGAGCGATTCGTAGAGGTAGCCTCATATGTGTGGCTAAATCGACTTACGATTGGTGTCATCAGCGTGTTGGTCTCCGGCCGACAACAACATTGCAGGTATTGTCAAAGTAAACGCGTAATCTGTGCAGGTTCTGCAGATGGAGGAGAAACCGTGTTGTCGCGTTGACAATGTGGAATCGAATGTAGCCGGTAGATGTTACTGGGTCCACTAATCTGATGGAGCGTATAATTATCTGGGCCGAGTCTGATTGCTGCTGTCCTTTGTCTTTAGGGATGTTCTTGGGAGCGAGATATTGGCTGTATCTCGCGATAGAAAAATCGGTACTGTCGCTGTCGATGAAGGAAGCCCCCTGTGAATTGAGAAAGCTAAATATCCTGGAAATTGTGGGCATCTTGCTCCACAGCCTGGTCTTACTTGTTGTGGGCTTGTTTGCAGAATAGGCATTCTATTGAGTACTCTGTAGCCCGGTTGTAGAGTACTGCTGTGATCAACTTACCTAGGCCGTCTAGGAACGTTGAATCCGTATTGAAGAACGTGTCTGCGAACAATGTCATTGACTTCCTCTAGCCAATTTTTTCTCACCATATGCGTACTTATCTACGTGCACACTAACCTCAGTACTTTTTTTTCGACGCACTACGCGATCTCCAACGGATCACATCACTTATACGAAAGTACGCTGTTTGCCCTTTAATTCGGTTGGATTAGATCACTACGGATGAGCTTGTCAGCCTGAAAGAGGTCTATCGACTTCTGTGCAAGGCTTTATTGTTGATGATATCTACCAAGTAATCAAATTCGGCCCAAAACTAGAACAAATCAATAGCAATTTATAGTTATTCAAGTGCGTGAGACCGCGGCTGGCGGTCATCGTTAGGATTTCCAGGTGCCACCGCTCAGTTTAAGGAAATTGCGAAACATCGTTCGTCCATGTTTGGTAAGGATGCTTTCTGGGTGAAACTGCACTCCCTCGGTTGTGAACTCTGCACTGCTATATTAGTCCCGATCTCTCTCAAAACAAGAAGGGCCGAGTAGCCCACCTTTGTGCCTGCATCCCATGATGATGGGCTTTGCGTCTTGCTCCAGATTGGTCGAAGACGACACTTCGAGCGAGTCGGGAAGCGTAGGATGTGTGCCTGCAAGGGAATGGTATCTAGCAACATCTAATGAAGCCGGCAGCCCATCATACACGCCCTTTCCATCATGCTTCAATACCGAGGTTTTCCCATGTAAGATCTCACCCGCCACATCAACCTTGCCACCAAACACAGAAATCATGCATTGATGGCCCATGCAAACCCCAAAGACGGGTATTTTCCCACTGAATTCCTTAATTGCTGCTTTGCTAATTCCTGCATCGGTGTCCGGATGGCCAGGGCCAGGACTGATTACCAACTGTGTGGGCTTCTTGGCAATCAGCCCCTCCAGCGTGATCTGGTCATTGCGGTAGACCGTGACTGAAGCACCTTCGAGGGCCAGGTATTGATAGATATTCCAAGTGAAGGAATCGTAGTTGTCGATGAGAATGACATTAGATGCAGAGCCGAGTTTTTCGATCTTTGTCGAATTCTGCGGGGGGTAGTCGACTAGGCCATTCTCCATGATGTCTTACAGCGACGTTCTTACCGCGAAAAATTTTCGGTCTTGTGAGCTATCCAAAATGATTTTACTCTCGCCGGCTGGTTGAAAAGGAGAAATCAATGAGCAGACGTGGCCGGCGGGCTAAAAGTGAGTCGGCGGAGTGCGGAGGGGCGAATGGGTGACATTTTATACCCCACCGTATGTTACCATTAGAATAACCATGGTATAATATAAAACATCCTCTTTTGAGCCGATACTACTTGGTAATTCCCCAGCATTTGATCGGCGCTAAGGCCGTCATCAAATTCTACTCTTCAGATAAAATCATGTTTCTATTTTCCAAAAAAAAAAAAGAGAGAAAAAAGAAGCCAATATGATGTTTAGGCCGTGAATATGGCAACCTCTTAAATAGGAAAGCCTACGTCTACCCGACCTAAGAGTCTCCAGTGATTCAAGCGCTTTTCCCAATTCAATCACCTAGTTATCACCTAGTTTATTGTGAGAATGACTTTTCCTCGACCAGAATACCTCCCGTTGGCGTGGTCATATGCTTGTCGCACCTCCGAAAGAGGATACGTTTGTAATACAAAAGGGCGCAGCATATCCATTTCTGCAAGCTGGGCTAGGAATCCTAAAACCCTTCTGCCACCCTTCACGATGAAAAACAACGCATTGATTCCTTCCTTGCTTAAAGAGCGCTTCTGATGATCAGCGACAAAGTCGTAACTTGCAGAATCCACTGAGATGATCGAGCCGCCTTCTTTAATATTTTCCCAACACCCTGATAGAGTACTCCCTCCAACTGTATCAATAATAACATCGAAGCTCTTTTTGTTCCCGCTCAGCAGAGCATTGTACTCCACCGTCTCATCGGCACCGAGAGTCTGCAGGAACTCTTTATTGCGAGCGTTTGAGCTTGTTGCAGCCACAGTGTACACATCGGATATAGACGCCAGTTGGACCAGGTAGATTCCTACCGCTCCGGCGGCACCGGTGATCAATAGGCGTTGTTTGTGCTCAGATGTCAGAGAACGACGGCCACCTGGTTTAGAAATATCCCCTAGTACAGGAACAGATATGCCTGCATGATCATATAATGCCTCGTAGGCAGTCATGGCACTGAGGGGCATTGCGGCTGCAGCATCCCAGGCTAGACCTTTTGGTTTCAAGGCTACTTCATCCTCCATAACAATACAGTATTCTGCCCATGTACAAGGCCGATCACCATCAGTCATTCCAAAAATTTCGTCACCAGGCTTGAACGAGCTTTGCTGGGAGAAAGTTTCAATGATAACTCCAGACAAGTCGTTTCCGAGAATGGGGTAATCATGGGCATACGTCTCCGGCCATGTCAACATGTCTCGAACCACTGTTGTGGCCCTGACACGGACTAAAAGCTCTCCTGGTTTTGACAGCTTAGGGATAGGCAGATCTTTGTCAAGATGTAATGCAGAAGACGGAGCTGGGTTTGAAGGGGAGTATGCACGCGACGAGGCAGGAGCAGGATGAAGACGAACGGCCTGCATTGTGGGAGGGATTTTTCGCCAAAGGTGTGCTTAAGGTGAAAATATTGAGAACAGCCTTGGTTATTTCTTAATAGACTAAGAACAGATGCAGTGAGTGAATGGTGCACGTAAAGGTGGATGAGACTATAATAATGTACATGAATATACGTACGTACGTGGTCTAAAGACCTCTATCCCAAATGAGATCACGTGAGGCCACGTGATCGTGTGCGCTGGAGCGAGGCATCTCGACTACAACCATATAATTCTATGCGCCGACATCAAGTTACTCAAAACTAATAAGTAATTATTATAAATTGTGGCAGTCGTATGCGCTTTAGGGCCTTGTCACGGAAACCTCCGTCAACACCTTTGTTTACGGGTCATGCATGAAAAGAATCTTTGTATCTAGCTACGCAGTATGAGACGGGGATATTCGGAGCATGGTAGTTACGAGCTGACGTGTTTGGAGTCTCATATGGCTAGCTTGCTCTTAGTCCTCTACTTTCCCCTCCAGGCTTCGTACTTTCGTCGATAGCTACCCAATACGAAGATATTGGCCTGGGCACCTTCTCATCAATCGTGCCGCCCCCAAGGTAGTAATATACAAAAAGCTATACTACATCTCAAATATATGGAGTGCCAGTAAGCTATGCTGCATTGCCTGTTCAGCTAGGTAAGTATCCGGCCGGATTCGTTCATAAATCGCTCACTCGACCTCGTCATAACCAAAGTCTAGCGAGATATACATACGTAGTAAAACATTGTTTCCTAGAGACTACAATAGGTTCGGATTCCGCCTACTCCGTACATTTCTTGGCCCACCCCACACCAAAAGTAACGTCCGAATTCGGATCCTTGTTGTGATCGACAATCCGTAGCGTAGCCTCTTTTCCCGCAGTCATAACACGCCATGTTAATTTCTTTTCTGGATACATGTATTACTATTACATGAAATTAACAGTATTAAGCTAAAATATTAAGTTACATACTAGGCTTTAGTGTCCGGAATGGTATAACTGTGGACCCCACTTTTGGTGTGCACAAGAAGTATCATTAAGTCTTAGACTTTAGTAGACAGCAGAATTGGATTTCAGTGATGACTATAGTAGGGCGCCGCGTTGCTGATGTAAAGTCGATTATAGTGTCGGCGGATCACTAAGTACGCTATATTGAGAAATTGCGTAATCGTCCCGCTTTGGTTCGGGTGGGTAGAGTTTGGATACTATGTTGCTAGAAGTTCGAGTTGCGGTGAGTCTGACTCAGATTAGGATTACTGTTGGAATTGTAGCGAATGTTAGGGAATTGCACGGGATTTTTTACGTTACCAAGTTTCAGGCAACACATATGAGTCAGGCCTAGAGACGGTATATGTATGTAGTCATAAACGTTGAATGCTCGTGGAACATTCGAAGATCTATTGCTAGCTTTTACTAAGGTGCTGTCCGTGTTTGAGCTTTACATGAACTATGAAGTTGTTTATTTCCACTATTTTGCCAGCATTTGCGGCTGCAGCAACCTCCGTCTCGATCAGTGCAGGGAAAATTAACGGTGGACGCTGTGAGAGTGCTGAAGATACAGTCTTTTTCAAAGGAATCCCCTTTGCCGAACCACCAGTTGGAGACCTACGTTTCGAGCCCCCGAAGCCCTACAATGGGAAATTCCCGGAAGAAGGGCTGAATGCAACTACATCAGCAATCACATGCATTCAGTTCACACACGACTATACCCCAGAACTATCCACATCGGAAGACTGGTAAGCCAAGTCGCTAACTTTCATCATTCTACATGTTTCTTCAGGGTTTAATCCTTTTTCAGTCTTTACCTGGACATCTGGGCACCAGGAAACGTGACTAAGGACTCGGGACTGCCAGTCAAAGTTTGGATATTCGGTGGTTCAAATACAGAAGGATCTATATCGGATTCTTTATACGACGGCTGCAACTCTCCCGATGGCGATTCAATCCTTGTCACAATAAACTACAGAGTAGGCCCCCTTGGTTTCATGGCACTCAGCAGTGCCGGGATCCAAGGTAACCAGGGAATCCAGGATCTGATTCTTGGGCTAGAATGGGTTCAAAGCAACATTGCTTCCTTTGGTGGTGACCCTGTATGTTACACTACTCTGATGCGAATTCATGTATAAGAATATAGAGCTGACAATCGACTTGATATACAGAATCAAGTGCTTCTGTTCGGCCAATCAGCCGGTGCTGAGAATGCATACGTCATTGCATCTCTCCCTCAAGCTCCTTCCCTCTTCAACAGTGTTATCTCGGAATCAGGTGGTGGTAGGGGTCTCATCACTAACGCGACTACACAAAAGATTGGAGCGTCATATGCGCAGGCTCTGAACTGCAGTCTTACGGACGTGAGTGTGCCGATTTGGGAATACTCGACTGAGCGTGCTGACCTGTACAGAAAGCTTGCCTGAAGTTCAAAACTGCTGATGAGCTTACCAAGGCGTATGATGACGATGACTTCCTGTCTCAAGGAGTTGGCTACTGGGGCCTTCTCGGGATCCTCGGTCCCATAACACATTCCTTCTACCCCTACGCAGATGGCAACATCGTCCCTGAGGACCCTTACACTAGCGGAGTAAAAGTCCCGGCAGTTTTTGGATTCAGTACGTCTTCACCATTAGCAATATCCCTTTCTGGACACACAGTAGCTAATAGTCACCCAAAGCTAGAAACGATGGTATCATTTATTCTATCGACTGGGCCAACTCGAGCGGAAATATTCCATCGCTAGCGGCATACGAGGAGTTCTTGCGTAAGGACTTTGGGCAGGCCGCTTCTCTTGTTGAAAAACACTACCCTCTTTCTTTGTTCGAGTCTACTATCGGCGACTCACCGCTCCTTGGCGAGTTATCTGCCTTGGGCATGAACAAAACCGAGGCTGCCGTTATTGTGGCCATGGCCACCGTCATCACCGATTCGACGTACAAGTGCCCAGCATACTATGGTGCAGCGCAAGCTACGCATAACAATATCCCTGCATGGACCTACGAATTCACCCACAACTCAACTTGCACATGGATAGATACCATCCCTCAAAAATACGTCTCCCTTTTCAGTGCCACACACACTGCCGAAATCCCATTTGTCTTTGGAAACATGAACAACTTCGATCTCCCCAATGGGAACTGCACGTTCACTCAGTCCGAAAAGTACCTCAGCCAGCAGATGAGAAGCCTGTGGACGTCAATGGCTGAACATGCCGATCCGTCAACCGCGGGCCTCACTTGGCCGCGATTTCACACGACAGAAAAGAATCTCACGACTTCGGGAATGATCTTTGGAGACTCGGCAGTGGCCGGCACAGTTGATTACACTGGGTGTGATCTGTGGTCTCAAGTCCACGCCATCCTGGCAGGGAGCAACTCGACAACAACTCTGAGCAGCCCGACTCTTGGTTAAGCTCCACCAGCAGCGTAAATACCTCCGTTGTCAAATGGTGCATCGATTTCTCTGCCTACGACAAGCGGTTTTCTTCCTTTCACCGCTCTGATAATGAGACTATTTCTATGGAATCTAGTATGGCAAAAAGGTGTAATCACTTAAGAATTAAAGACTATATCTTAAAATGAGATGACTTGGAATAATATTGATATGCCCTTCTATAATAACAATATGACCAGCACTGAAATGTATGTATTATATTAGATATGTCTGATCATTATCTAAGCATGAAAGTAGATATAAAGAGCTAATGACCGGAATCCAGATTTCGATTGTGGGAAAAGATTATATTACCATGAGACACTCACTGCTGTACGTACAGTATGTAGTGACTAGGTTTTCTACTCACTTTCGTGAAAGGGGGGGGAAGAAAGCAAAAATCGGGTCAAGGCTCAGCTCAGCATTTTGTGCTCTAATGTCCCTTCGGGCAGCGTAATTGATAATGATATCCTCGGTTATTCCGAAATTGAGACAACGTGAGACGTTCGAATAGTTTTCTGGCTATTGACTACTGAACATGAATACCAGAATTGAAGTATAAAACCACCGGGAGGTACTCTCATTTGCCTCAACTGTAAGTGCAGTCTTCATTTTTTTCCAGAGGCATCACCGGGACTTGACCAGCCTTTTAACATTTGAACTTGTTACTTATCCTGAACTGCCTGCTGACACGGAAGTGTCTCAAACTGAACTGTTGGGCTTAAGGTCCACTTGCCGCAACCATTTATCCATTGCCTTTTCCATCAAATCCTTAGTCAAAACCACCTATCAATTTTTAGTAAGTATATCAAGTTTGAGAGTATAGGCAACGGTTCAGTCATGTGTGGCTTACCAATTTTTCTGACTCTATGAGTGTATCATGATCTGCGTCTTCAACAATGGCCCACTCGACATTCTCCGGTCCAACCATTTCGTCCCAGCCACCAGCATCGAAAGACTCACGCGGAACAGTAAGCCAGTCATTGCTAATTTTCAGCCTTGTCCCTGGCCCCTCGTTCTTCGCAAGTTTCATTGCTTCGAGGACCATGGCTGCCATCCTGTCATGGTCACCATGCCCAGCCCAGATGACGAAGATCCGCGGTCGACTCGTGTTTCCTGAGTTGTTAAAGGGACGAGGTGCATATTTCATTTTGGCATAGTAAGCTGCGACTCGATGCTTTTTCCGAAATGCGGGAATCTCCACGTCAGGTTTGCCTTCACGACGGATTGGGGGGAAGACGCCCATCATTTCAAACAGCTCGACAGTTGCCTCCGGGATCTTAGGAGGTGGTCGAGGTAATGCCAAGTCTAGCATAATTATCCCCAGAACTCGCTTTCCTTGTTCGTGGAGCTGGTATGCAGTTTCATATGCAGTAGCTGTCCCCATGGACCATCCGCATAGCATGTACGGGCCATCCGGATCAATACTTTGAATGGTGTTTGCGTAGATGGTGGCAGTCTCTTCTATCGTCCAAGAAGATTCCGATTTGGTCATGAGGAATGGTGAGCCAAAGCTGTAGACCGCACAGTCATTTGAAAATTTAGGTAATGTTCTGTACACGAAGGCATTTCCGGAGCCTGGAGGTGTGAGAAAGAGGGAGGGAACACCCGCTCTGGGAGTTCCCTGAAGCAGGACCGAAAAGCATCGATCCTCAGGCGCGTCTTTCATGACAGGTGTAAAATCAAGAAAGCCTGCCGTATCTGGAATCGAACTGATTTGTTGAAAGATTGCACCGACTGTTGCCTGGGTGAAAAACAGAGATGACGGCAATGACACTCCTGTTTCTACCTGAACACGCTTGAGAATTGCGATAGACCGAATCGAGTCGATCCCTAGCTCAATCATCCCAGTAGAGAGGTCAATCGGGTGTCCCATCGCCTTTTCGATCGCCATGCCTAATGACCGCATGACTTGAGGTCCTGAAATGGGTCCATCAATACTGTGCCCGCCCTGCGTATCCTGGCGTTCCCAGTATGTCCTGACCAGATCCTCCAGCTTGGTCTTCTGGACTTTCCCTGCCATAGTCGTTGGATATTTTTCATGTCCCAATGCCTGTATCGGTATTACATCTGCCGGAACATAAAGATTCCCCATCCGTGCCAAGATAATATCCTTAAGTCTATCTGCCGTGTAATCATCGAGTTTCTGGTTCACCACAGCAACAGGAACTTCGCCGGCAATATTGTCCGGTGCGCGCACAATTTGAGGCTGAAGGACGTTGATGTCGGGGATTTGACCCAGGACAGCCTCGATGGCTGATGGTTCAATATTCTCGCCTCCACGGATAATGGTATCTTTGTATCTACCAATCAAGTAGAGACGACCGTCGTTACCAATGAAGGCTTTATCACCACTACGGAACCACAGGCGGCCATCCTCTCCGTTATAGAAGTTACTATCGATTCCTCCAATATATCCTTTGATCAAAGTTGGGCCTGAGAAGTGAATCTCGCCAGCCTCCCCAGTCCCAGTTGATGCATTACTGTCCTTGGCGCATACACGAACAGCCATGCCAGGGAGTGGAGTGCCAATAGAAACATCTCTGCCTTTGATTATATCGCTGGCATGGCTCACGACATCAGAAGAAACAAGGACGCCCTCGGTCATACCGTAGAGATTTTCAACCCCCGACGCACCCAAGGTATCAAGGCAAATCTTGATGACCTCTTCAGTCGGTGGGGAGCCCCCCATTACAATCCGCCTAAGTGAATTGAGCTTCCCGGATGCAAGCGATACATTGCTTAGAGCATGCAGCATGGTTGGCACCAGTCCAGCGTGGCTCACTTGCTCCTCCCTGATGGCCTTCTCCACAGCCTCTGGAACGAAGCTTGGCCCCGGGAGCACGACTGTGGCCGCGTTAAGAAAGGGACCTATAATACAAAGCCAGCCAAACCCGTGGTTATTTGGCAATGTAAATAATGCCCGGTCTCCAGGCAGCATAGGGACACTGCTTTCGCGCCAGCGTAAGGCGGCGGAAAAGCCATACGCAGATGGTACAAGACAGCCTTTAGGGAGAGATGTCGTTCCACTAGTGAAGAAAATTGTCCGATCAGAAAATTCTGAGTCGTGATCTCTACATATGCTTTGCTGGAGATCAGGAGCAGGATCCGACATCACCTCCTTAAACGGTGTCCACCCGTCCATCTCCCCTTCGACCAGAATTCTCATGCAGTCCTGCTCGGACGTCAACTCTTCGATGCGTGCACACATATCAGACTTTCCGGCAATAATGCCCATAAAGTCTGACTGACACTGTCCCGTCACGATTTTCAACATATGCCGCATCTCTCGGGCATTGGATAGACCCTTAGGGTTGATCGGAACATAGGTACAGCCCATTTCGTACGCAGCCCAGGTAGCAATAACGTATTCGGCAGTATTCGGCATGAACATAACCAAAGGGTCACCTCTCTTCAATCCCTTTGTTTGTAAACCAGTGACAAGTCGTTGTATAGCGTGATTGAGGTCCTGATAAGTCCATCGTAGGTAGTCCGCCCCATGCTTTGCGCTGTCGATGGACGTGCTTGGGATGCCGTACAGAGTAGAGGGCTGCTGGGTGCTGATGAGAGCGACAGCATTGGGGAATTTCACGACGTTTTGATAGAACGCCTCGTAGAGAGTTGTAGGTAACTCTGGAAGGGTGCTTCCATGTAGTTCGCTCGGGGCCATCATGGTGGAAGATGATCGCGATTTACTTTTGAGTATTCTCCAAAGACACGATTAAGGGGGGATAATGACTGCTAATGTCAAAGGTACGAGATACTAGAAGAAACGACAGTAATCAAATACGGGGAATCATACGGAAGTATAATTGACGGTATATGCCCATCACATACAGGCTAGCTCAAGCCTGCTTACCTAACTCACCGGAATATCACAAATAATACTATAGGATATAGTGGCGGCAACTCAGGCTACATTTTCCTAGCTGCGTGCTTTTGCAGTTTTTAGTATCGACTTACGGAATACTGCTAAAACAGAATAGACAAAAGTAACTCCTCCGACTTAGCGTGTGGATAATTCAGTTTCAAGAGGATATTCAGGCTTTATTACCTGATTAGCTCTAGCGCGTGTGTTTGGATTAATCAAAGTAAGAATCTGCATGCTGGGGGGTATCTACGATGGGATAAGCGGCAATCTGGTGAGAATCAAAGGACACGCTGATGCCATAAAGCCCGTCGATCAACGGATCAAGGGCGTAGTGCATGGGCTACGCCCCCATCCTGAGCTGGATTGTAGTCTGTGGGTACCCGCTGACCGTTTTGCTGTACATATAACAGAATTCTTGTATCTGCATGTGTAATTGTCAGGAGAGGCTTCGATTAAAATACAATCTAATAATATTAGATTGTATATGTACGACCCACTATGGCGAAATCCTCGCAAGGTGCGGCCCGCGGAGTGAAGACTCCGTTAGTAAGTGCAGACTGTAGAGGATAAAAACATTTTATTACGGTGATCAGAATACTGGCCCCTCTCTGGTTACTAATCAATACCGGATACTCTGTACAGTTGTCTTTAAGACTCTTCCTACGCGCTATGTTTGGAGGCGGACATTAACGTATTATTTTGGTGCACAGCTCGCCATTGCTTTCTCACATATAGTGGCCATCACTGGATTGATATCACGCACCCTCATTATTGACCATTATTGAATTTATATTGCCCTTTATTTTCAGCTCATCATGGCCTATAGAACGACCTCGACTCGCTCAAAATCGACCACGGTCGTGGGAGAGCGATCTTTAGATGTTGCTGATCTCGAAGTAATCAAGCTGGAAAGCCTCACTGCAAAAGACCCGGCTGAGACAGCAAAACTTTTGATAGCTGCTGAGAGTCAGGGGTTTTTCTATGTCTCTTTTGACGATAGTCTCTCAGGGAAAATTTCGGAATTTCTCCGAATCTGTTACTTGAACTCTCATGAATTCTTCACCAAGCCTTTGGACGAGAAGATGAAGGCATTTAGAGAGGATGTCAATTACGGGTATTTTAGCTTCCCTACTCATCATAACTGCTAGACCTACAGATACTCATACATCAACAGCTACAAGCGTGCAGGCATGGAATCATTCGGAGTAAGCATATCTATGATTATGCCGCACTGTAGCTAATATCCGCTAGATCTCCCGAGACGAGCAGGACAGTATGACTCTGCCAAGCCCCTTTGCAGAACACGCTGTAGCGACGCTGGAATTTTCCAATATTTGCGACACCATAGTCCGTACCTGCCTCCACTGCTTCTCTGATAGCCTTGGTCTTGGTGAAATAGACAATGCTCATCACCCTGATGGAAAAAGCGACTCAGAAATAAAGTTCGTATCTTATCCAACCAAAGCATCTGCTGCTGATGCACCCGATACTACCCACACCGACAGCGGTTCGATCACCTTGCTCTGGTGCGAGAAATGGGCTAGTCAGATGCAGACGAAGGAGACGAAAGAATGGCTATGGATTGACCCGAAGCCTGGTTGTGTCTTAGTCAATGTCGGGAATCATCTACAAGGTCAGACTGGCGGTCGCCTGCATTCCCCAGTCCATCGAGTGAGTCAACCAATTGACGGGTTTGAGGACCGATACTTTGTATCCTATTTTTTGAGGCCAAATTATGAGTCTTAAGAAACAGCACTTAGCTTATCAACACGTCGAGGGATTATTATTTACCGATATGAATTTAAGTTCCTCGGACACTTTTTGGATTGCGGGGAATTTTCTCAGACTCCCCTTAAATTCCACCTAGCCCGTCAGCTTACTTCTTTATTTACTTACATGGTCAATTACTGCGCACTTATTTCGCACTACTATGGCAGACTGTATCCAAATTAACGACATCATTTGAATATTCCTGTAACGGAGGGGAGTATGGTATAACAGAGCAAAGATATCAGAGCAGAATGTATGGCATAGAAAACTAATGAACAGGGGAGCAGGCCTATGTTTATACCTGCACAGGGCTTGCTCCAGGGCATGAACCCCCGATGTGCCTACAAGATCCGTACAAAGATCCCTAACGAAAGCCTACAACAAAGCCACTAGCTGAAACCATTACCAAGACGTGAAACTCATAAACCAAAGATCTCCGCGGTGTCATGGAACCTCTCTTCCTTCTCCTTTGAGTCGATCCGTGACAATTACAATATTACATGTAATGTATTAGAAATTTTCTTATCCCCCGTTAATCTATTTTCACGCAACGAATAGATATCGTTGAATTTATATCAAATGACTCGCTTTGATCAATCATATCATGACATATATTCAATACCAATACAGTTACTAACCTGCTGTTTATCTTGTTATAGCTTATTGCCTCTAACAGCCCATTACTCCCCGTGATTGGCGTGAGCCTCCCAACATTATAATCGATGAGCGAGAGAAGGCTATGTCAACCCACAACTCAATCCTCAAGGGAAACGCACACACAATGATCTATACAGATGGCAGTGGATACCAAGGGTATATCGGGGCAGTTGCAGTTATCCCGACGATAGAACGTTCAAATAAGGGAGTGTATCGGAACAGAGAGTAAGTCGACAGTGTATGCAGGAGAGTCATGTGGATCAAATTTGCACTCGAGTCTGCTCCGCCTCGTGAGTTAGTTAACGTAAATATTATAGGATATATAATGTAAATCATATTATGAACAAGATATAGTAGTATACTAAAATGGAAAACCAAGTTTGGTTTGTTGCATCTATACCATACTACTCCGCTCTGCAGTAGCTTCTACAAGGTTACAGACATGTAGTTGACGTTACAAACCCATTACGTATGGGTCAGCTCAAGCCTGCTCATCCGGCCCACCGGGATATTATAAATAACAATACAGGATACAGTGGCAACTCAGGCTACATTTTCCTAGCTGCGTGCTACTGCAGTTCTTGGTATCGACTTACAGAATACTGCTGAAGGCATAAGCTTTAAAATACAATGCTCCTAGGTCCACTCTCAGAAAGCTACTGATCTGGGAACTGCCCTAAGGAAAAAATTGGAAATATCGCTGTGCTACATCCTCTCTGCAGGTTGTTCCCCTCTCGCATCCGAGACCGACGCGGGCAACACCTGCTTCGCCCTCCCACTGCCATTCCATTCAGGAAAACTGATACCAAGCACCCAACTCGAATTCCGCCCAGCATGCCGGACCCTGTGAGTATTCTGTCTCTCATCATCTTCATCATTGCAGTTCTTTCTGAACTCCTCAGGCAAATGTAGAGCCGTCCCTCGACGTTGCGAGGGAAGTGGTCGCCAAATCGCAAAATTCTCAGTATCCGCCGAATGTGCTTCCCCTGACCGCCTCGATCCCCGCAGACCTTATCACTCCGACTGTTGCGTATCTGAAGATTGCTGCAAAGTGTGTACATGCTATTTTTGTGATGCTGGATTCTGCTGAATAGCTTGGGATAGGTCGAAGCTGTCGTTTCTATACGAGAGTGCAGCAACCACTGAGACAATAGGCCGATACAGCTTTTTCGGCGCAGGTATGTGGTCCTTTCTGCCTCGATGTTAGTCCCATACTGAACCCCAAGACCCTAGAAAAGTCATCAAGACCGGCCTCGGCCATGGCCCTGAGTGCGACCCGCTCCCGATTCTCGAGAAAGAGCTGTCTGAAGTTCGCAGCGCAACGATACCAGGGCTGAAGCTCCCCGCTGTGACCGGCGGTGCCATTGGATATGTCGGATATGACTGTGCACGGTACTTTGAGCCCAAGACAGCTCGCCCACTCAAGGACGTGCTCGGAATCCCTGAGTCTCTCTTTATGCTCTTCGATACCACTTTTGCGTTTGATCACTTTTTCCAGATTATCAAGGTCATCACGTATATCCCGATCACGGATGGTGGTGCCAACTTAGAGGAGGCATATCAAAAGGGCCAAGGGACCATTCAAGAGGCAATCAACACCCTGCTACACCCAGATATCCCCCTCCCACCGCAAGACCCGATTCTTCAGAATCAAGAGTATAAATCGAATATCGGCCAAGCAGGCTACGAAAGCCATGTGACAAGACTCAAAGAGCATATCAAGGTCGGAGATATCTTTCAGGCCGTGCCGTCGCAAAGACTGGCCCGCCCAACCTCCATACACCCGTTCAACCTGTTCCGACACCTCCGTTCCGTCAACCCTTCGCCGTATCTGTTCTTTGTTGATTGCGGTGACTTTCAGCTCGTGGGTGCGAGCCCGGAACTGCTAGTCAAGAATGAAAACGGCCGTATCATCACCCACCCAATTGCCGGTACCGTCAAGCGAGGCAGGACGTCCGAGGAAGATGAAGCCCTGGCTGCCGAGCTACGAGGCAGCTTGAAAGACCGCGCTGAGCACGTCATGCTCGTCGATCTGGCTCGAAATGATGTGAACCGAGTGTGCGATCCCATCACCACGCAGGTCGACAGACTGATGGTTGTCGAGAGATTCTCGCACGTTCAGCATCTTGTCTCTCAAGTATCTGGTGTCCTTCGCCCGGACAAGACGCGATTTGACGCCTTCCGGTCCATTTTTCCTGCGGGAACTGTCTCTGGAGCTCCCAAGGTGCGCGCTATGCAGCTCATCGGTGAATTGGAAGGCGAGAAACGCGGTGTGTATGCTGGTGCGGTGGGCTACTTTGGATACGACAGGTCCAGCCAGGACGGATCGAGCAAGATTACAGGCGACATGGATACCTGCATTGCCTTGCGCACGATGGTTCTAAAAGACGGCGTTGCCTATCTGCAGGCTGGCGGCGGTATCGTCCTTGATTCTGACGAGTATGACGAGTACGTGGAGACTTTGAACAAACTGGGTGCCAATATTGCATGCATCAAGGGCGCCGAGAAAAAATACCTGCTGTTAGAAAAGGAGGCTGCGGCTGCCAAGTAGAATCTAAATATAGATGTAAATAGTAGATTGTTGGTCAAAAAAAAGTGATTCAATGTTCTCCAAAATACGACTTCAGTCAAAATAGGTATTTAAATGGGCGTCCCCGCACTAGTACTGGTGTAATTACAATTTGACCACTTTACATGAAATTACAATGTTTGTAATTACAGCGCCCCAGTATTACCCCGCACCCTATCGTCAATTGGGACTAATGTCTTCGTCGTCTACCCGCCGCCCTACCGCGGAGAATAATCAAGGGCTGAATCGATCGGGAAACAAATAGGTAGTCAGGATACTAGCTGACTTGCTCAGTAGAAGGATTACTTTACAGCTATCCCAGATATGGTGAATGCGGCGCATAAATCCGCTTGGCTGCTCTCATTGGATAACAAGCTGTCCTCGATATAAGGATTTGCCAAGAATCCCAGGTGCCAGTTACTTTCACTCCATTAGACACACTTGAATACAGTACAATACTCAATCTCTCAGCTATTTACAGAACAGGAGTTCCGGAAAACTCTGACACGAGTCACATGACTATACTTCTGCACAAGTTCAACAATCTTCTATCCAAGATATCCAAGAGATACAGGAGTTTCTAGCTTTATATGTGCAGACCTGTCCCAGAAGACAATCAATTGACATTAGGAGTGGAATGGCGTAGAAGTAGGGTGTTGGACCAGGCCGAAGCGTTTATGGATTTCTATTTTGGCCATGCTGAACCCACGATCGATGTCTCCGCGTCGCGCATCTCCAGCGGGAATCTCCCCAAGACAAATTTGTAAGTATTGGTACTGCTTCCGAACTAGTGTCGCAAGGCGCTCACTGCTCTTTGGGCAAAGCAAGCCGGGATTCGAAGACTCCGACATCATCTCCTGCAATTCAAGGAACGCTAGAGACATACCTAGTAAGACACCAAAATTTCGAATAGGGCTGGAAGCTAATTTGAGCATAGTTGTCGCAAAATCAGACGGCCAAACTGAGAGGATGCCATCTAGATCCTCAGGGACGGGTAGGGAGGCCTGGCGAATCATTTCCAGGCCAAACTCGACGATACCTCCATTTTCCGCTGAGTAAGGCTGGTCGTCCGTTTCGAAGCCGGACTGAGCCCTCAAGAACCCCACCACAGCGCACCCAATCTTGTCGCCCGATCTCTGTGGGGCGTACAAAAACGATTCCAGGAGGCAGCACTGCGTAAACCAGAGTGGTAAGAGATGAGCAATATTGAGATGAGCTGTCCGATCTCCTGGATGCTTCCTCAACGAAGCTAGAGTGGCTGGCTCAATGGCTCTGCTACCAGCAGCGAGGGCAACATGATCACTATGGTCCAAAGTTAATCTCATGGGAGACTGTCCGATGAAAGAGTAGTGGGAAGGGCTGTGCTTGCTGTCCAGGGAGTCAATCCAAAGCACAAGTGTTTCGAGCTCGCTCGCCGTGAATGAACCGTACATCTTCCCTCCCCATTGAAGCGCTTGAACCAATTTGCTCCTCTGGCTGTCACCTGGATATATCCATGGCTTACTTGCGCTCAAGCTTTCAATAAACTTCTGTCGCCATTCCTCGGTCGAGAACGCTTCAGGATCCAGCCAGTCGGCCAGCAAGCGCTCCCCAATTTTCACCCGACTGCCACAATGCAGCCTATGAGCCGCCTGAATCTTCGAGCCGAATATCGCAAGAACCTTTGACTGTCTCGACTCCAATCGACCGTGGGAGTCATCATCGAGTCGTGCAAGAATATTTGTTGCTTGGTTGCCCTTTCGAAATTGCCACTCGCTGAAAATATATCCAGCCCGAATCCGCTTCCACACTGCATCAGCAGCCACATCGCCCTCAGATTCTGCAATGTGCTGAACGTAATCCTCGACGCTTGCTGTAGCCATGGCAGCGTGGCCCGAGTGGCTATTGTCAATGGAGACGTGAAGCAGGAAATAGTACCCGTCGAAGCCAACTTCCGGTAACTCTTTCGCCGCTTGCATAGTTTCCAGCTGCAGGGCTTCAAAGTGCATGTTAAACCCAAGAATCTCAGGCAAAAACTCGTGCGGGAAGAGAGACACGAGTAGCTGCGCCACGGCTGCTCTCCAATACTTAAGGCTACCTAGCCTGTAACGAGGATGCAGAATAGCCTTTGTTGTTGCCGAGGGCAAGTCTGGTTCAATTACTCTCAAAAGGTCCTCGAAGATCTTGACATGATGCTGGTCGGGGTTCCCGTTCCCCAGTTCATCTGTAAACACTTGCCAAGTCTGTTTGACGGTGTGTCTCAAGGAGAAAGGCATAGTGATCTTGTTTAAATGCCCGAGCCAGGCGCCATCGACCAACTTTAGCGGTGCAATCTCCCTCAGCCAGTCCCCAGCTGCCTGCCGATTGAGAAAAAGCTCACGTGGACCTCCCGATCGTCGGCGACTTATGTACTGATGATATTGACTTGTGACACCATTTTGATCATTCCGTAGAAATCGAGAAAGCGCCTCGCTGTCAAAGTGCTGAACAGAAAGTATGTTGGTTTCCGGTGCCTTGGCGTAATCCTCCAATGCTTGCGAAAGCAAAACTAGGAATGCCTGTCGTGCCACCGGTATTACGTCGGAGTGTTCCTCCAAATTTTGAAGCTTGAAATAGAGGCCTTTATAGAATTCTAGCTCTCTCGCTAAGCCTACGGTTGCTGTGGCAAGTGGACGTGGCTCTTTGAGCTCTTTGAGCTCTTTGAGCCCTGGTGCAGATAAATCATCGGATCCTTCAGCCTTTAGATAGCCTTTGAAAATTTTCCAAGATAAGAAAGCAATGACGAATGCGCATATGAGAACAAGATTACCGGGAAAGCCGGCTTGATGATTTGCAATGGCCGATTCAAACTTGAAAGACATTGTAGATTTTTTGGCTTGTCAAGTTGGAAATCTGACAAAGTCTCCAGTCTGGATTGCTGGATTGTTGGATTGCTGGCGAGGACGATGATGAGGGTGAGCACTTGAAAGTTCAAAGGCGTGTGCCTAGGCTTACTCAAAGTGCTCTGGAGACCTCGAGAAAGGCGGAAAAATATCCTGGTTATTCAATAATCTAATCTGTCTCTAAGCCTAACTTGTTTCTTCTTTACCTTTCTCTGATTTTTTTCTTTCCCTCTCTAGAACTCTTGTGGGCTATGTCATTTCAAACAATTTACGACATAGTCAGGTGGAATTACGACTGTAAGCACCGACAGGAAGAATGTCCAAGTAAGTATTTTTACGTATTTTTACGTAAAGTTCTGAAGTATGCCAAGCGTATCTTTGAACGCAAGTGGCCTATAATCGGCAGTATTTCATATGCTTCTAGCAGTTGGGGATATGGACTATTACAGGACCAAAACCCATTTAGGGATTATCTCTTCTTGGCATAGCAGTGATCTAGTTGATAATATTGCTCATATAATAGAATCAAGCCCTTCTCTCTTTACAGATTCCTTTTTTAGTCCTGTTATTCATGTGGATACTACGTCTAATCCTCTTAGTATAGACTACGTCTTGGTGGTATTCAGGCTGATGTACCCACAGACTATTGTCTACCTTAGGATAGATGCATAGCCCATACTAAAAATTACAGTAGCATGCAGCTAGGGAAATGTAGCCTAAGTTGCCACCACTATATCCTATATTATTATTTATAATATCTCAGTGAGTCGGGTAAGCAGGCTTGAGCTAGCTTGTATAGGATGGGAATATACTGTTAACTATATATCTGTAATTTTATAGAAGCTACTATAGAGCAGAGTAGTATAGCATGTATATAATACCTCAAGCTTGTAGCCTTGTATTTCCATTTTAGTATACTACTATATCTTGTTTATAATATGATTTGTATTATATTCTTTTAATATTAATATTTAATAAACATCTTCTCTGATGTATAAAATGATTTGTCTAGAATACTACTGTAGTACTGCCATAAACCCAGGCGGCAGGCCACTGAGGCCAGCATGCTTCTAATCAGCCTAGATCTTATTAGTATTTAGTGCCATTTACTAGCTGAAACACAAAAGAAAAAACTGCTTAGATTTTTCAGTGTACTTATTAGAACTTTGTACGCATTAAGATACATTTATTACATTACAGCTCGACCAGGCGGGCCGCGGGTGTATATCCGGAAAGATACCAAGAAATCCTAGAATATAGGGCTATGTCTAGAAAAACTCTAGTCTACTAGTATAGCGGCGGAGCGGGCCGCCGTTGCATCTATACTACATGTGTGGGACCTGTGTAATATGAGTAGTGGAGCGTAACGATAATGTAATAAGGTATCTTTAATTGGTGTTTATTAATTTAAGTGTTAATAGACTACCCGTTCCATGCATATAGAGACCAGGAATATGCTCCTTATATGCAGTCATGCCAAACCCCACTTCTTGCCTTACTAGATCCTGCAGATCAATATACAGAGCCGTATAGGATCTATGACTAATCGCACATAGCATCGCGATCTACACCCATCTAGTTCCCACTCCAAAAATCCCACGAGAATTTTGTCACCTTACAATTGGGCGACTCAGGGCGAGGTGGTGATGATCTCCGCCTCAACTTAGCCAGAGTCTATACGCAATTCAGGTAAAGCTGATCCTCCAGGAAGAAACGTAACGAGTAATACAAGGTGTATCCTCGGGAACTAATTTCCTTTCCAGACCTAGAGCACATGTTCCAAAATGTCGTATCTATTAGCGCTGCAAGAATTGACAATCATATTTGCTTCCTAGAGAGGTAATAGCTGCTGCGCCCTTAATAAGAACGTTCTCTGAAGCGGAAGTACCGGAGCTGATGCATTCAGTCCAACCAATCAGTTCACTCTGCCAAGCTGCTGGATTTGCCTCCATGAACTCCCCCAACAACAGTGGGAATTGTGCACCCTTCTACCTGTATTCAACATGACGGAGCAGAAGCCCCACGCTATTGTCGGCCTCGCTACGAAGGCCGTGACATCCATTGATCATATAGACTGCAGCATATCCTCTCCATTGGATAGCGGGTCGTATACCATATCCGCAGATTGAGGATAATTTCCGGATATCCGCACTAGCATAACTCTCGGTTAATTATCTACATGGTGTCGGACTTCGGCTTAGGTGCAAGATGCAGACAATACAGACATGAAATTGATGCTATAGAGGTCTGAAAGATCAGAAACCAAAAAAGAAAACAGTAGCAAAATTCAAATACAAAAAATAATTAGAAACACGATTGGGACATCCAGTTATCCTATGTCCTTCAATTCCACAACCACTGCAGCGTAATTGACATTGTACAGGCGGTTGAGATACTGGAAGCTCTAGCTCTGGCTCAACCGGAGCAGCAGTAACAGTTTGGGATGCTTCAACCTGATCTTGTATAAGCGTCTGAGTTTCCTGTCTACTATTTCCTTGTTTATGCGATACCTGCGTTCTAGACCGTCTGCATTTTTGCTCCCCTTTCTTATGCGCAATGCGGAATTTATGGACTTCTTTTCGTACAATAAGAAGATCATTAATGCTCGTTTCATAAGCTTTGGATATGCGGTCAGTTGCTTGATCGATTGATTCGAATGGGCTTAATTTGCGCTGGCTTATACGCTCCTTGATCGCACTGAGTTGTCGTTCAAACTGACGTAGATTTTGAAATGCTTGTAAGCAAGAAGAATGCGAATTGCTGCTTCGACTTGGAGGAGGTGTAGGAGTCCTTAAATGAAAAGTAAGCTGTTGGTAAACTCAATCCGAATCAAGTGGCACTAATCCAGTTGCCGTGAAGCCATTCCAAATAGTCTCAGCTTTATATGCCATGAATTGGGCTTCCGGAAATGCAGTAAAAGGTCAATTTTGTCAATGTGGTTGAACCAAAGCCTCGCTTGCCGCTCAACAAGTTGTCCATATTGTCGGTTAAAAACTGCAAAAGGCTTCCATGGCCATCAAGGATCAACATTTGATATCTGCCCATTGTACGGCCATTTGTATAAGAAATGAAGTGGTTAATAAGCCAATTCATTCCAATCTTATCTGTGATCCACCCCTTGTCGCTAATATTGATTCTCCAGTCATCTGGGAGGGTCTCAAACTAGCCTTCCTGGGAGTATTTTGTTGCTTTGAAGATCACATATGAAGTTAAAGCCCATCCAGTAGAATTAACCACCTCAATTGAATTTACCTATTTCCGATTGCTAGGTTGCAATAGCTTTGGGCGGGCATATCGATCGCTTCCAGTAATCACCTTTCAGCTGCACAGAGTTTTAGATATCTTCTGCTGAGATACCATATTCCAATGTAGCCTCTCGTATGCGATCCTGGATTATCCTTTGATCTTCGCAATTAGCACGTTCGTAGTTATATCCTCGTAAAAATCGCGATTCGAGGTCTGGGCGACTTTGATCTAGATTGTATACCCAGTCCTCTCCAACCTGTCGATTTCCATGTTGTGCAAGAAGGATTTTGGCCATATTTCGTACCATAGATGGTCGGGGAGGTAAACCTCGCTTATCTAGGTCCATTGTCACTTTAACAAGCAACTACTTTTTAGATTTGGTCAATTTATGTCCGTTGGCGCGCGTTTCAGCTCTTTTGAAGACTGAAAGTGTGGCATTATAAATATTTGCTGCTTGCCGTACGGAGCGGGTTTTCGACTTTTTATATCGAAATTGTTAATTGGATCCGCCCGTCTTTTTGTTGAGAATTATTATTGTTTCTTTCTGAATTGGTGGCATAGTGATGCGACGAGCTTTAAAAGATAGTACAAAGCGCGCTTTCGGGCGAGAGTGACCGATTTGGGTGTGGATTACGTTGAGTATAGGGCCAGTCTTTCTGGGCGTACTAAAATTGACTGTGATTATTCAACCAGTATACGAAATTTAATGTAATCTGTTGACATTCCAACATGTGCACCTATAGCCATGCGATATATCCGAAACAGGAAGAAAACACCAGTCCGTACATGAGACAGCTCAAATTTTGGTCTCAGCGTCTGCCTCAACATTAGGTGTGTCTAGTGTCTCTTCGTCAGACGAGTTGGTCTTGTCCTCGTGTCCCTGCGTTCCCAGCTTTAAGAAAGGTATCAAGACGACCCCCAAACCGGCTGACGCTGCAGCAAACCAGTACGTTGACAGGTACGGTTTGATTGGACTTGCCGGTCCCTGGTTGCGGACAGAGTTGTAAACAGCAGTCGTGATGCCAAGACTGGTGTTGGCGCAGAACTTGGACGCAGTGTTGAAAATGCCTCCGGCAAGAGACTGGTCGGACGATGGAAGACTGGACATGACATACATCTATATTCCAAGTTTTATTAGCATTCAAGGGGAGAGAGAGAGGGCCCTCACGTTGACCACGTTGAATTCAGTGTCAGCCCCAACAACCATCAACAGTAGCGGCACAAGATACCAGCCCCAGTAGATGCCATCATCCGGCGTAAAACTCATAATAAGGAACGCAATCATGTACGCCGTAGCGCCAATAAGCATGAGCAACTTGTTGCTGACTTTGTGCAGAATGAGACCGCAGACAACGTTGACCAAGATTCCGTTGATAATCATCGGCAGTAAACGAGCAGTGATTTCTAAAGGACTGTAGTGCTTAATTTGTTGCATATATAAAGCCATCCAGAACTCACTGCTGATAAATCCCATGAAACCAAGACAGAGAGATCCCATCAGCTGGGTGAGTTAGTTGATTGTAGCTGGGGGGGGGGGGAGGAGGAGCATTTACCAGAGAAAAGTTCCGATCCTGCCAGACGTAAAGAGGCATCAAAGGAGTTGAATATATCGATTCCCAGGACAAGAAACCAGCAATAAGAACAACCCCCAAAACGAGTAGCAGAATGACATATGGTGTTTTCCAGCCATTGGATGCGTCTCCAGCCGTCCTATGTCTGGGTGAGCAGTGTCATACCGAAGCTCATAGCTCGAGATACTCACGAAAGTGCAGTCGAAAACAGAGCAATACCAGAAATCGCCAACAACATGCCAATAGGGTCTAGTTTCTTCATTGATTGCCAATTCAACTCAGCTTTGGCCTTTGGAGGGTCGCTGGGAACCGTCCAGACGGCCAACAGGGTAAAAATGGCGTATATCACAGCCAATGTCCAAAGAGCAATTCTCCAGTTACCAACCTGAGACGCAATACCGGAGATAATCATGCCCCCTACATAGCCCAACGGGTTTCCAGCACTGAAGCAGGCAAAAGCGCGATTTTTCCGTTTCGAAGGTTTTGAATACACAACCCCCAGCGATCCGACCGCAGGTGGTACGGCAGAAGCGCAAAAAATACCCATGACGCCCGAGAATACATCCATATAAATAGCTGCGTTGGCGAATCCGGCGATCACCAATGCGACTGTAAATCCCGCCATGCTGGCCATGAACATTATCCGACGGCCGAACATATCAGCCACTTTTCCAAACGCCAACAGGAATGCGCCACTCGTGAGTCTATTTCCCAAAAATTAGAGCCTATGTAAGAATGATAGCAAAGACTCAGAACGTACGAAACGCCGGCAGTAATCCATGTGATTTCAGCAGAGCTCATGTTGAGATCTTCTCCGATGGAAGCAGACACGACAAGAACCAGCCCCTCAAAGAATGAGGTCTGAGCGATAGCCATCGTCGTCGTCAAGACAAATAGGCACTCTTGCAGGGTACTGGAGAAGCATTCGGGGCGGTCATTAGGGTTGCGTAATTGCTCGCCCTGTCGGGGGCCTGATTCTTCCTGTGGCGTGGTCATTGTGTCCGTATACCTCTGTTGTCTGTGGTAGACGTATCGACCTGTCCTTGGTTGCACAAGGCAAAGTGAGAGAGAATACTCAGGGGTGCTGTAGAGTTTTGGCTTGTTAAGTTGGAAATCTGCTACAGGAAGACTCCAGTCTGGGATTGATGGACTGCTGGCGAGAACGATGAGGAGGGTGAGCTCTTGAAAGGTGTGTGCCTAGGCTTACTCAAAGTGCTCTGGAGACCTCAAGAAAGGCGGAAAAAGATCCTGGTTATTTGGTAATCTAATCCGCCTCTAAGTCTAACTTTTTTCTTTGACTTTTTAGAACTCTTGTGGGCTAATTCGTTTCAAAACAATTTACAACATAGGTGGAATTACGACCGTAAGCACCGACAGGAAGAATGTCCAAGTAAATGTTTTTACGTAAAGTTCTGAACGCAAGTGGCCTACTATCGGCGGTTTTCCATATGCTTCTAGCAGTTGGGGATATGGACTATTACAGGACCAAAACCCATTTAGGGATTATCTCTTCTTGGCATAGCAGTGATCTAGTTGATAATATTGCTCATATAATAGAATCAAGCCCTTCTCTCTTACAGATTCCTTTTTTAGTCCTGTTATTCATGTGGATACTATGTCTAATCCTCTTAGTATAGACTACGTCTTGGTGGTATTCAGGCTGATGTACCCACAGACTATTGTCTACCTTAGGATAGATGCATAGCCCATACATTACGCCCTTAATTCGTTGATTAATAGCTTTATAATATCAGCGTGTTCTTTCATTCTTACCAGATTGCCACTTATATCATCGTAAATATTCTCGAGCATGCAGGTTATTACTTTGATTAATCTAAACACACACGTTAGAGCTAATCAGGTAATAAAGCCTGAATACCCGACAAAATTGTCCACACGCTAAGTCAGACAAGTTGCGTCTATCTGCAGAGGCAAGCCAGAGAGCTGCGGGGATATGGATAATTGCCTCGTACAGAGTACGTGCATTGAAAGTTGTAAACAGTGGCGGTCTGAGAGTGGACCTAGGAGTATTATATTTTAAAGCGTATGCCTTCGGCAGTATTCTGTAAATCAATACTAAAAACTGCAGTAGCACGTAGCTAGGAAAATGTAACCTGAGTCGCCGCTACTGTATCTTGTATTATTATTTGTAATATCTCGGTGAGTCAGGTAAGCAGGCTTGAGCTAGCCTGTATATGATGACATTGATGAGTATGTACTGTCAAGTTTCAAATATATTACTATAACAGTATAATTCTGTAATAGCTACTGCAAAGTAGAGTAGTATAGTATATATACAATACATCAATCTTATATTTCTATTTTAGCATAGTACTTTATCTTGTTCATAATATGATTTACATTATATATCCTATAATATTGATGAATATCTTGTCTGATGTATATGATTTTGTCATTTTGTCTAGAATGCTACTGCTATAAACATGGGCCAGTGTGCTTCTAATTAGCCTGGATCTTATTAGTGTTTGCCAGCTGGAAATAAAACTGCTTGTAGTACTCAGTATACTCAGTGGAACCTTGTACGCATTAAAATACATTACAGCTCGACCAGGCGGCCCGAGGCGGGTGTATATCAGAGAAGGTGCCAAGAAATCCTAGAACATATAGGGCTAGGTCTGGAATAACCCTGGTCCATGTAACTTTCTTTTCAGCACCGAGTCCTTAAGGAACTAACTACATTTTTTGTGACTAGAACCGTGTATTGAGTAACTTGGTACCCTGGATCAAACTTATTCCTTCATTACATCAGGTTTATTCTAGTACTGCCTTGGCACTGTTTTGGACGAAAGCGAAGGGAATTTTAAAACTTACTGAATATCTATACAGTGTATAGCTTCACACACACACACACACACACACACACAGAGAGAGAGAGGGACAGAGAGAAAGAGAGAGAGAGACAGAGCATAGAGCTTACTTGGAAATGTCTTTTCGTCTAGAAGTTGCAATTTCGAGATGTCGAAATTTTGAAATCGGGTCATTCTATGTCTTTTGTTGTGTCGTTTTTCTCTTTTGCTACTGGTGGAAATCCACAAAGCTGGAGAATCCATCTGGGTTGCCAGTTATTGGTCGAAGATGGTATGAGATAGGATATGGTAAAGCCAGTGAGCGATTCCGGCATGATTGCTTAGGACTTGTTAGGTCCTGCTTGGAGAAGGTCAGTCGTGTTCCAATTCTGAGCTTCTGTCTTTCTTCAAAATATATTCATTTACCCATGGCAGTACGGAGATGCTTTCTATCTCTATACTGATTCTAGATATCGCTTAATTCTCTCTGGCAAGTATGTTGATATGCTCCGCAATGAAAAGCGCCTGGATTTCATTACAGCACTGGCGGATGTAAGCAAAATGTCAATCTGGAGAAATCAGAAGCTAACACGGAAATAGAAACTTGTCAACGGCGTGCCTGGTTTTGAGCCGATGGAGTCAATGACAAGCAGTAAAAAGATCATACACGCCGTAACAAAGCATTCGCTCAATCGCAATTTGGGTAAGCGCCGCCCTGCCATGGCCAGCTTTGCTTTCCGGGTCTGACTTTGAAAAGGAACATTTATTGAACCGCTTAATGAAGAATCTAACTATGCACTTGATCAAGTCTGGACGGATGACCCTGGTAGCACCCCATAACCCTCAACGTTGACCCTATCTTGAAATTGAAGCTAAGGATCCTATCAGAATTCCACGAGGTTATGTTGAAAGATTCCGTCTGGAAGATATTTGGACGGATCATGTCTAGGACTTTCATAAACGATAGAGACTTTTATCGAAATCCAGAGTGGGTGAATGCAAGTTCGGAGTACGTCGAACTATCAGCATTGGCGGGATATGAGCTTCGAGCGTTTCCAAAATGGGCCAAGTGCTGGGTCGCACCTTTTCTCCCCAATTGTCGGAAGCTTCAGTCCCTTTTCAAGCATATTAACAAACTCCTGGAGCCTTTAAAGGAAAAGCTAGATCAGCAACCACCGGGTGTTGATTCTAAAGATCCGCTCAGTTTCCTATATCAAAAGACGGGAGGTCGGTTGGACGAGCTTGCGTCCATGTTGATTGCGCTCTGCTTAGTGTCATATGATGGAGGAGGTGAATTGTTCACTCACGTCCTTCACTCGGTTTTTACAAATAGTCAACTGGTCAATGACCTCCGTGCCGAGATTGTGACTGTGATTGGGAAAGAAGGGTTCAACAAGAATACCTTACAAAATCTAGTGCTCATGGACAGCGTGTTGAAGGAGGTCCAACGTATGCATCCTGAGTCTGTTCGTAAGTCTCATCCACCCACATTCCTGAAGGCCTTTCTTAACTACCGATGTTAGTCATGATGCAACGAATCGCTTTGGAGGAGGTCGTTCTACCCGATGGACTCATTATACCCAAAGGGACTGCACTTTTTGTCTCCGCTTGCCACATTATTGATGCATCGGTCTGGCCTGAAGGTGATAAATTTGACGGTTACCGATTCTTCAATCTACGCCGGAAGGGGAAACCATCTACAAGCCAAGTATCATATAACTTTACGTCGACGTCTCCAGACCATTTTAGCTTTGGTCACGGATCCCAAGCATGCCCTGGAAGGTTTTTTGCATCGTATATGCAGAAAATACTGCTGTGTAATATTCTGATGAGATATGATGTTTCGGTCACTATTCCTGATGAAGGCGCATGGTTTCAACGTGGGCAGACTCATGTGGCTCATCCGGGCCTTAAAGCCCGTGTTCGGCGACGGAAAGAAGAGATTGAGCTATGAGGAAAAGTTCTATAATGGGAAAGAGCCATGTACTCTATCAATTAGCACAACCCAATGGGCTTTATGCCATTGCTTTTTATCTTGGGATCCGTCCATAGGTCCGACCCCCTTTTTCAAACTGTTCTCTGTTTGATCGGTTTTCATATCACAAATTGACTGCCACGCCCTTTACTCCGTAGGATTAGTCAAAATCCCTGTGGCTTATTGTGACATTGCTCATTCCTACTACTAGGGTAGCCTATCTCGAAGAAACAAAGCATACAAGAGAAAAGGAAGAAGAAGCTCTTACACGCTCGCTTGCTACAGCTTTTATATGGTGCGAAGACCCCGCGACGGTGCCGTATTAGGAGGTCGTGAAGCTCAAAGGAAAAGCCCGCTGCTAGGGCTTAGCGCAACGACGTAAGATCCGGAGCGGCACCATATCAGGCCGAGCAACAAGCAACATAATGCGTACGACCGTCACACTCATCTATCCCACTGCCACCGCTGAAGGCTTAGTAGCAACTGTCAGACCTCGCCGTGAACTTCGCCCAAGTCCAAATTCCAGACCCTCGACCCGATCCTGACTCTTAGTGGAAGCAACGCTTCGGTGACTCGAGGGTCGGGGGTGAGGTGTGGTACTGATGTCCCGAACTCGAAGTCTTCGTCACTAGTAGCTATGGCGGGCCTCCCTCAATTAGTAGCTTCAATGTTTACCTAGTATTATCACTTTGATTTGTTTTGTAAGCACATAAGACCACATCCTGTAGTAATTGATAGCGGTAGGGTATGACTCAAATGCAGCTGGGTCGAAATGACAACCTTGAGAGCGCCAAAACACAAGGTCGGTTGACTATTTGATCCCATCTTCATCAAATAGCTGCGGATGGTTGGTTGAATGACTTTTGTTGGACGCACGCCGCAGGCCTGGAGCCAATCTTGCGTGCAAAGAGAAGTTGCAGGTCAGACTAAATGTGTTCTGGGAAGGCTATCTGCTGAACCATATACACGAAGCGAAGCGGGAGTGTACCCACAGGTCATCAGGCACAGGAGGCCTTAGGGATCTACAATATCAGAAGCTAACTACTGCAGTTCGGCTTCAATGATGCCTTTATGGTACCCATGAGGCAGCCAGAACTTTATGACTCTTAGTCCCACTGACTCCAAAAGCTCCGTCCATCTCTGACGAGTCCGCTCTATTCCTGGGCACCATACCATGACAATCATATCAGTCAATGTCTCCTTTGGCCTGGCATTTTGGTCAGGGATAATATAATCCTCAATCAAGATCTTTGAAAACCCTCTCTCCATGGCAGTTGTAATGTGCCTTAGTATAACCTGACAATTGTAATCAGACCAATCATGCATAATGTGCTTAAAGTAGTAAGCGCGAGCACCTATAATACCTGTTAGATAATTGGCGGACAGAACAGGAGCACCACAGACCTTGAACTGGCTGAGGCTCGAAAAAGCTATGCTTAATCCTCTGAATGCCACCGTCGAGATGTTGGATGTCATCAATTACCGAAGGCAAATCTTCAAGTACGAGCTTCCCAGCTTCAACAGGGAATCGTTGCTTGAACCCCTCGAGGTCATGACCACGGCCTCCGCCAACGTCAACGAGCAACGGACGATCGGGCGATAACCTGTCCAGTAACCGCTCTTGGACGGGAAACCAATCTGCCCAGTGAGATGTGTCATCTCGGCCGCCTTCCATAAAGGTATTAAAACGGCTTAGAGCATCCGCGTTCTTGGCTAACCAGTCCCAGCAAGAATCGGTGGTGTTATAGGCATGTTGAAGTGGCCCTCCATTGGGATCCCCAGGATTCTTGTAGTTAGACTTTTGGAAGAATTCTGGTGTTTTCTGAATAATGGGTAAAAAGTCGATAAAACTAGATCAATCATGTAAGATCAGAGTTGGTCGGCGTTTGTGGAGGTCGGACATCATTGGAAAGTACTCACAGTGAGTCCATGGTTCCAATCGCTTTCCTCTCCGTCATCTTCCTCGACAGGTCGGTAGGCATATATTGACCAGGACCCAGTTCACTAGCGAAATCATAGCAAACAAGAACACGCATAATACGTTCTACCAAAAAGGTTAATTTGTACAACAAGAAGGTTTAAGTTGATGTGACAACCTACCAACAAGTTGAATATCTGCGTTTTTCGGTCCGGCCAGCTCTTTCCAAGAGGCTGGGGACGTCCTGTCGGATAAAATAGTGAAAATATTCAGATCACTGGCAGTCTTCACAGCCATAAGAATAGCGGGCTATAGATCCCAAATATTATCAGCAGCAGGCAGATAGATGACTGAGAGTTGGTTCATACAGAAGTAAATAGTTTATAAATTGCATCCGCAGGGGTTTCGAGAGCTCTTACGAGGCTGATAGCACTTGCAAGCGCATCTTGCCGGGTCTGCTCAGTCTGAGTCGCTTGGTATGTATCAATGGATGCCACAGCCTTTGTAGTCAGGCTGGCAATATCGTGAGATTTCTGCCCCATCATGCTGGATACAGATAGAGTGGTCGAAGTGTGCACAATTCTAATTATTATTTAGAGGGTAGATGGAGGGCACATCTAGCAGTTTGGCAGGATGAATTGATTTGTCAGACTCAATACAAAAGATCCGGTACTTCCGCTTCAGAGAACGTTCTTATTAAGGGCGCAGCAGCTATTACCTCTCTAGGAAGCAAATATGATTGTCAATTCTTGCAGCGCTAATAGATACGACATTTTGGAACATGTGCTCTAGGTCTGGAAAGGAAATTAGTTCCCGAGGATACACCTTGTATTACTCGTTACGTTTCTTCCTGGAGGATCAGCTTTACCTGAATTGCGTATAGACTCTGGCTAAGTTGAGGCGGAGATCATCACCACCTCGCCCTGAGTCGCCCAATTGTAAGGTGACAAAATTCTCGTGGGATTTTTGGAGTGGGAACTAGATGGGTGTAGATCGCGATGCTATGTGCGATTAGTCATAGATCCTATACGGCTCTGTATATTGATCTGCAGGATCTAGTAAGGCAAGAAGTGGGGTTTGGCATGACTGCATATAAGGAGCATATTCCTGGTCTCTATATGCATGGAACGGGTAGTCTATTAACACTTAAATTAATAAACACCAATTAAAGATACCTTATTACATTATCGTTACGCTCCACTACTCATATTACACAGGTCCCACACATGTAGTATAGATGCAACGGCGGCCCGCTCCGCCGCTATACTAGTAGACTAGAGTTTTTCTAGACATAGCCCTATATTCTAGGATTTCTTGGTATCTTTCCGGATATACACCCGCGGCCCGCCTGGTCGAGCTGTAATGTAATAAATGTATCTTAATGCGTACAAAGTTCTAATAAGTACACTGAAAAATCTAAGCAGTTTTTTCTTTTGTGTTTCAGCTAGTAAATGGCACTAAATACTAATAAGATCTAGGCTGATTAGAAGTGGGGTTTGGCATGACTGCATATAAGGAGCATATTCCTGGTCTCTATACGCATGGGTTGAGTCCGTTAACACTTAAATTAGTAAACACTAATTAAAGATACCTTATTACATTATCGTTACGCTCCACTACTCATATTACACAGGTCCCACACATGTAGTATAGATGCAACGGCGGCCCGCTCCGCCGCTATAGACTAGAGTTATTCTAGACATAGCCCTATATATTCTAGGATTTCTTGGCATCTTTCCAGAGGGCAGTCCCATGCATTTCTCGGTGTGTATTATTGAGAATAACGCTATCGCCAATGCATCCATCTAAAATGCGTGCTTGAAAGGCACCCGCTCTATTTACCTAGGGGCGGAGGCCGATGCTCGCAGGGGGAAGTTCTCATTCCCTCAGCTATGAAAACTTTCCTACATCCCTCCACCTAGACCCCATCAACAGCAGCACCTGGGACGTGAAATTAATCTTCCAAGATTTCGCATGCCAAAATGTCTTCCAACGGGCCAGGTATCCAGTTGAAAATCACAGTCATCGGCGGTGGGATGGCCGGCCTTGCATCAGCAATAGCACTCTCAGACATGAACCCCAACCACCAAATTACAGTTCTAGAGTCAAACGCATCCCTCAGCGAGTTCGGCGCCGGACTGCAGCTCTTCGCAAATAGTACTCGTATCCTACATAAATGGGGCCTAACTCCCGCCCTGGAAAGAGTTGCCTTCCAGTCCTCTCACGTGTCTATTCGCCGCTGGGAGGATGATGCAGAATTAACCTTCAACATGAACAACCCTTACAGTACATGGCTCTATGGTTGGCCCCAATGGCAGATCTACAGACCAGACTTGCAGAAAGCGCTCTTCGAACGCGCGAAAGAGTTTCCAAACGTATCTGTTTTATTTGCCAAGTCCGTCAAATCCGTAGACGCTATGACTGGTACCGTCTATACGGTTGACGGGGAGGTTTTTGAGGCGGATCTTACGGTCGCAGCGGATGGGATCTGGTCTCGGGCCAGGCGATGCTTGCCGGCATCAAAGGATGTGTCCCCAACGGCCTATCGGGAACATAACTACCGTGCCGTGATTCCACGGTCCCGGATGCTCTCAAATGCCATTACTGCACCTTTTATAGCTTCCCCGGAGGCAAAATTATGGGTGGGGCCCGGCGTATTTGTATTGGGATATACAGTTGCCTCAAAGGAGTTGTACAACCTTGTTATTGGTGTCCCACGGCCGAGCGAGGGGGTACCTGTCGGGTCTTGGAATCACCCTGCCAACCTTGAGACAATGCGCGGCCTTGTATCTGGGTGGTGTGAGGAAGTGCGAGCGCTGGCTTCTCTGGTTCAAGAGGACTGTGTTTCCTGGACCCTAGGCGAAGTGCCCCCTATTCCCAGCTTTGTTAGTACATCTGGAAGGGTAGCGCTGGTTGGAGACGCGGCGCATTCTCTCCTTCCTCATGCTGCGCAGGGGGCCGGAATGGCGTTCGAGGATGCGGCTGGTTTGTCGGAGTTCGTGAGACATCTGAGGTCAAAAGAGGATCTACCGAAGGTGATGGATGCTTGGAGCCACTTTAGACAGGCTCGTGTGGATCATTTACGCAATATCAGCCGTGGCAATGCAAGTGACATGACACTTCCTGATGGAGAGCTTCAGATTGCGCGGGATATGAAATGGAGCACTATTCGCGATAAACAGCGGGCACAGTGGGCTGAGCTTGGACTTGAGAAGATTAGAGAGAAGATGATCCGGGAAAAACCTACGCCTGATCCAGATTGCAAGAGCACGTTTGAGCCTGGTGGTAGAATGTGGGTCTATGGATATGATATATATGAGAACAGTAGGGAATTCTGTCGTGAACATCTGGGATGGCAGTGAAGGCTTGCTGCGTATTAGGGCTAGCCGCATTTGGGTCGTAAACGCCTCGTCGTATAGAGTAAGCATGATATACGGATTCATCTGCTGAGTACGCCTCCGGATTTTCAGAAAATCTTTCAGTTTCAACAGCCCCAACCCAAACCCTCAGCAAAATTATATGTGAACAGTCACTAGAGTATCATACACATGTGAAATCGTTGGCGTTTCTTCATTGAATTCGACTTTCAGCATTGACTTTTGCCTCATGCAGGAGGAGCAGGGGAAAAGTTATGTTTGGGCTTTACGATCCTTTTTCCCCTTGAGCCTTTCTCGTTTCTTCCCAGTTTGTGCACCAATCACGGTCTCACCTTGTTAAAATTGGTCGAGACGATTTGCCCATCAAACGTTGGCGTCGTGCTAAGTAAAAGGGAGTCGGTAGGACTTTTTAAATTCAACCGACTTCACACGCCTGCATCTATGTTAGGGTAGATTTTCAAATTCGGTCCAGCAATATGTGACGGAGCTATCGGTACACAGGATCGGTGTGAGCACATTTAACCTATTATTTATGTTGTTGCAAGTTATCTAAAATTGATAGGGTTATATTATGAGGTAGTTAGAATACGGAAGCCTTATACCCGATCAGGCCCGCAGCCATTACCCAAAGTAGAAAGGCGATAGAAGTTTAAGGTTATTCTAGCGTGACTCTAGAGCTGTTTCATGCCCATCATTTAATGCATTCGTAGAAACATGGTGTCAGAAGAAGCAAGAACCATAACCAAGATAGCGTTGCACTACTGCGCGATAGAACAAAGGATTATCCGCAACAGCCTTAGCCTTAGGGTATCACAGCCAAAAGAGCCGAATCTTAGAAGATGGATATGTCGGATATGATGAGATAGGACAGAGCCAAACAGAGCCAGCTGCCAAGAGATGGATATGATGGCTATGTTGATGATGGCATATATAAGAACGTTCATTTAATATGTACCTAGGTTTATGCTATCGTTTTGAATTAACTGTGATAACTTGAGTATACGTTCTTCCATTGAATCGGATATTCCGAACTCTTTTTGAAGACTTTGCTTTCAAGAAGGCTTTCGTACTTAGAAGCCTTATATTTTCTTGTGTTATAAGCTATCCGAGATATACTCGACGGTAGTTTAGAAACCGAAGTTTCCGACACATGGCGATGCCGAATATTGTGCAGATATTGCAGTTCGAGCCCGAGCAGCGGGTGATTGTCTGTTATTTATGCCATTAAGTAGTATTAGATGGTCACTTGGACGAGCATTTACGTCGACCTACGCATCAGGTCAAGCAACAAGACCGATATTCACCATCGTCCCGAACATATTATCAACAGTTCCCCCAACGCATTCAGCAGTCCACGCGCATCACCATTCCCCGCCAGCCTATTGCACCTATTATGTTATTAGATGAGCCATTCCCCCAAACTCGATCGGCCTGAGAAGTTGATGAAAGAGAAAGAAGAGAACAAGCAGACGCCTCCTGTTTATCAGAGAGACATCGAATCTTGCCTCCCACCGAAATATTTCAGTCGGGATTACCGGGCACTGAGCTGTCCCTTCTCTTACTGGGAAACCTTGCGGATATGCATTCCACCGGTCGCGCAGAATAGATCACCGTGACGCAGATTAAAGCTCGCCTTGAAAACTTCCCTCCAGCTGGAATACTGGATCATGGTCGGAATAATAAAAAAATCCGTTGTATTATTTGCTTTCTTAAATATTTTCCCTTCCACAATATACAAACACGAGAGACATCCATGTAAGACGCCCTCTGTATAGACCGAAATTTTGAAAGCGATTTTACTCGTGGCGTGCGTTCCCGGTGGTTGAGAAAGACTGTAAACAATACTTGCCTCACTGTTGGTTGCTTCGTGCAATCGAGATGCCTGGCACTGGTATACAGCAAGGAGAGGTCACATATGGCTTACACGTGACCTCGTCAAGCAAGGACTATATAGACCGCGTCGGGGCCTCACTAAGACAGATAGACACAACAGAACACAGAACCGAAGAATCACCTATTGAGATTGACTCAAGTGCTTCGTACGTACGTATATGCACCTTAGTGCACCCACACTCACCGAGTAAGAGTCCATGACTTCATAAAACAAAAGTCCTTCACGCCACCTAGCTTGTAGCACACTTAGACGCAACTTTTCACAGAGAACTATTCATCTAGTTTAAAAAGATGGACAGAAATTTCAGAAAACAACCCACAAACTCTTCCAGCCAACTTTGGCGAGTTTGGCGGCAATAAACGCCACGAGACCGCTAAAGTAACAGGCCACCACCCAAGTAATCAACGCCCAATACTCGCCATCACATCTCGATAAGATTTCCCCGGCAATCGGGATCCCAGTTAGAGTTCTACGGAAGTCGTCAGTCAAGACTTTCTCAAAATGAAGGTTTAGAAGAAGGAAAAAAAATAAGATGTGACGGAAGTACAACGGACAAGAGACTAGGACAACCTACCCAAAACTAACAATTGTGTACATCGTGGCGTAGTATCGGCCGTAGTTCTCCGTCTTACAGAGTTGACCCACGCACACTGGAGTTAGACTGATATTGCTGCCGCTGAAGAAGCCAAAAGCCAGAGCATAGACTATCAGCATGGCCTTGCGGTCTCCAGCAGGCAGCCAGAAGCAAGCACAGCTCACAAGGCAGCCCAGAATGGCTAATATCATGGTGTTGAACCGACCGACGGAGTCGGCAATATAGCCGGGCAGCCATCGGCCCAAGACGGAGCCAGCGTTGAGAATGGCAAGGATTTGGTAGGAAAATGATGTTGAGTAGCCCTGAGCTAGTGAATAGGAGGAGATATACGTAATCGGCACAAAGAGCCCCCATTCGATGAGAAAGACACCAGCAGTGGTCAGCGCAAAAATCGGATCTCTAAAGATCCGGACATCCGGCAGGATGTTCTCCTTTGATGCCGGCTTAGATGGAAGCCGAGAGCGGATGAGGATGCAACCGGCGCCCAGGGTCAACAGACACAGCAGCACCACGACCCGAGTTGCCCATGCAAAGCCAATCCTAGGAAATAGAGCCTCGAGAATTAGAGGGAAAGCAATGCCTCCAAACGAGCCACCAGTCGTTGCAATACCCGTCGCCTCGCCTCGTCGCCGGTAAAAATAGTGACCAATAGCCGCAATCGCCGGGTTAAAGATCATAGACGTTCCTATACCGATAAAGATTCCAATTGTCACCATGAAATGCCAGTATTGCGTGCAGAAAGGTAAGGAGACCATAGACGCAATAGTGAGAATCGAGCCGCCCAGAACCAGAAATCGGGGGCCCTTTGCATCAAATATGGGTCCAATCTGCGCGCCGCAAAGGAAGGTAAGACAGGCATACACGCCAAAGATCCAGCCAACAGTGCCGTCACTGTAATCAGCCAACTGGTGCTTCGACACGTATGTCTGGAATGTGCCAATGGTGTTCAGCAGCCCCAGAGACCCGAATAAAGCCATCCAGCTTCCTACAACAACCAGCCATGCCTGCAGGCCGCCTTCGGGGTAAGTGTTCCCGTCAGGGTCGGTTGACACCCGCAACACGGCACCTGACAGCGACGCGCCGTCGTCTCGTTGGGATACAATTGGATGTGATGTATGAGATTCTATCAGTCTATGGCCTGCATTGTCGGAGGCTGGCTCTTCAGTCGCTTTTGCTTGTGCCCGAGCTGTCTGGTCGTCGGGTACGGCGTTTACATCCTGACACCCGTCCGCCTCATGATCGCGGCTTCCGGATGATGCTGGTTGGTCATGGTCCGGCGTCATTGACCGGTCGTGTGTATCGTGCAACTGTCTGTCTTGCTGAGGAGTTGAAGCAAATCCACAGAGCATTTTGGGTACTAGGCAAACACGAGGCTGCGCCACACAGTTGGATGAGAGGAAAAGAGTTGGGAAGAAAAATTCTTTGAAAAAGCTCTGGAGCGTAAGTCGCCGAGTCGGGCTTGTTGACCCCTGAACGGAAGAGTCCTTGTTATTGGAGTTCGCGGCAGATCTAGCAGCTTGGCAGGGTGAATTGATTTGTCAGACTGTCGCCTCTCCACGAGTAAAATATGATTGTCGATTGCCTTTCCCCAACAGTCGCTTGCATATTATAGCGCCAATGGGTACGAGAGTCGAGCATTCAAAACTTATACTCTAGGCCTGGAAAGGAAGTCAGTTCTCGCAAATATGCTTTGTTTAACAGAGGACATCCCCACTAACCTTGCCTCCCGCGCACCCTTCACCTATACCAATGTGGGACTATCTGATACGCTAGATGCACGCTAGAGAGTACTACGTTGTATGGAGTATGTTAATTACAGTACAGAGTCCTCCATAGAGTCCGTAGAGTCCGTACATAAATTCTTATGGGGCGAAATGTTATTTACATCCAAGAAACAAAAAGAGCAATATGTGTCTGAGGGGTTTTCACTATTAGTCGGCGGGGTCGCCTCCGTACTAGGCAGCTTGATTGGCTAGCATCGCAAGCGCCCAAAAATTGACGGGCTGGTCATTCTATAGCTTACAGCCGCAGCCTAATTGGAGAGCCAGGGATGCCATTTGGTGCACGACTCCATCGTTGGCTTCACAGAACTTTGTTTTTGCATGTCGCTTCTTTTTTGACGAGCTTTTGGCATCTAGAGATAGTGTCGAAAGAAAAAGAGCCAGAGTTGCCAATACCCACTCTCTCTGCCTTCTCCCACCGTCCCTGAATATGATTGGATTTCTATCTCGGACACTTGCATTTGGTAGCGACCGCTCCCATATCTTGTTGGATCGTAGATTTGCTTTATAGCAGACTACATAATGCGCTTATGCAGGGCAGCGAGGTCGACTAAATCGTCTTAAGCAGCTCACCATAACCTTACGATGAGAAAGGTCTTTTAAAAATATGTGATGTGATGAGATAATCTCTCCGTAACAATGCAAGATCCTCTAAATAGACTTATTGTCGGAACGTGAATATCAAACCCTACACGTTTCGGCACCGGATATAGTTAGTCCAACGTGGCACGTGCGTACCGCGTATATATATCTAGCTAGTTATCCCCGGTCCCCTTACTCTTGGGGATCAGTCACAATATTAGGAATCAAGATATCTTCATATTGTCAGGCTCATTAGGCCGCTTCGTGTTCGCGCCTTACTACCGTCTATGCTTCGTGATACGGACCGTAGTTAAACCAACACTGATCAGTGAGGCCCACAGATCAGACCTTACCCCTATTCTCACTTATTCGAATTCCCCGTCGACCTCGCGTCGATTACCACCCTGCTGCGCCGATATACGCACCAAATCTCTTGCTCGTGAGCTCTTAGCTGAGTCTCATAAACCTTACGAATCCACCCGTACGAACCTACGTACGAAACCACCTTCGACCCCGAGTCGAATACCCCTCTCAGTGCGCCGATATACGCACCGAATAACCGACAATATGGCACCCACGGATTATACAGATTTTGATCCGAATGGCAAGGACCGCAAGACAATCGAACCATGCGTAATAACACGAACAAAGATCTACACCGATCTGTACGACGACGACCTATGGTTTACCTTCAAAGATGATTTTGGAGACTGGACTACAGATAACCTTTGCAAAGCAACCGTACCAGTCCTTGGAAAACTACGTGACGTACTGCGAACCAATGGTATATATGTACCAAAGGGTGGACACGCAGGAAGAGTATTAGCGAACACACTGACTCTTCCAGAACCACATGAATGGACTGAAAGTGAAGTTATTGAGTATATACAGCTTAAAGGGACCTTCAATTCCCCATTTATCCAGTTGAAGTTCACTGCCACAATCAAAGGAATCAACGACGCCACAAATGTGATAACACAAAATAATGCTCAATTCGTGCAAGAAGATACCCCCCCTCCACCGTCAACGAACCTACACGGCATGGTAACAAGAGCGAAAGCATCTACAGGTGGCCCACAAGATATAACACCACCCACTGAGACGGCGCCGCAGGCACCACTAGTACAAGTAGCGACACCTACCCAAACGGCAACATGGCAAGGAACAGGATATGTTCCAGCAATCCGTGACCAAGAAAGAACGTATTCGCAGGTGGGACAATCTGCACTGTTGTATGTTAACAGTATTGCACAACTTCAGAAGGTGTACACTACAGATAGCACCAAGTACGGCGATAATGAAGACTCATTCGACCTGGCTCACAATATCTTCTTAGATCTCTGTCGCCAGATGGGTCTATATACCGCAGAAGCACGGAACCAGGCATTTTCAGTTATGCTCAAAGGACTCGCACTCGACTATTACTACACGTGGAAAGATTAATGGGAGCGCATAGGAATCGACCCCGCCGTGGCAGTCAAAAACCACTTCGAAAACGATGAGCACCTACGAAAAGTGCAGACTGACTGGGATGCGATAAATCTTTATACGGTAATTGTGAAGTACCCTGAAAAATCAACTACCGAATGCTTAGAGATGATGTTTCGAGATATCTAAAAGCTCTACCACAAATTGCGACCAGAACTACAAAACGAGGTTATTTGGCACGCAAAGCTCATTTCTGCTACTCAAACACACCCAGCATGTCATGCAGCAACTGGAAATTCCGCATCTACGATCCCTGGTCTCATGCAGAGCCTTCGAGGAAGTGTCAGCCAATTTGAAGACACTAAGTGAGCAGCGCAACAGCACTTTGCAGGCATATACAATACTGATCCGTATAACGTTCCACGAACGAACATGACAGAACATCGCTTCTTCAACAATAATCTACGATACCAGCCTCAAAACCACAGCCGCTTTACTCAGAAACCATCTCATCACTTCAGAGGTCCTAGAAACAACAAAAAGACATGTTATATCTGCAAGAAACCAGGACACTTATCATATAACCACTCGGACGAGGAGCGCGAGGCACACAAGCGTGAATGGAATAAAAACAGATCTAGGAGTTATCAACAATTTATGGCTGAAATTGAGGGCTGGGAATATGACCCTGAATCAATTGAAGAACTAGCATCAAGTGGCACTTATTTTGAGGATGACAGCAGTGATGACGAACCTCCAAGGACCAAGGATTCAATTACTTCCAAAGATTCAGCCAATAAGAATGCACCACTCCAGACTACCTCAACCCATTTTGCCAGCGCTTTCTTCACTACTGATGAGAAGCCAAAGGGAGAATTAGAAAAGTTAATTACTATAGAGTTAGCAAATCGAGCGACTATGCACTGTGTCAAAGCCCTGGCAATAAAGGAAGCACAAGATGGCGACAATATAGAGAATGACGTTGAAGAAATGATTAATATAAGCACCTACGTTTCGGCAAGCCGATACTCTGAAGAAACATGGCAAGGTATTCTCATTGACACCGGCGCTGCAGACTTCTCTACAGCCGGATACAGTCAATTCCTCGCATATCAGAAAGCTGTCAAGGGAGCTGTAATAGACACGTCAACCGCAAATTCAGTAGGGATTAAATTTGGCTCAGGCGATCCTGTACGCTCAAAAGGCTCAGTCGATGTTGACACACCAATTGGCCGAGTCCAATTCCATATCCTCGAAACAATGACACCGTTCCTGCTCTCTATCAAAGACCTGGACAGACTGAACGTGTATTACGACAACACCAAAGATCTTCTCATTGGCTCAAAAGAGAATATGACTACCCAGGTTATACGAAGATTTAGCCATCCATTCCTTATATGGCAGGAGACCTACGAATCATGTCTCCTGGAATCACTTGATGAGAATCCCTGCTTCCTCACAGAAACAGAATTACGGCGCCTACACCGTCGATTCGGTCATCCCTCAACTGACAGATTCTACCGCGTTATCGAGCGCGCAGGCCACGACGCTGACCGTGAAGCAATCAAGCATATTCGCAAATTCTGTCATCACTGCCAAATCCATGGTAAATCTCCTGGCCATTTCCGCTTTACATTGCAAGACAATATACATTTCAACCATTCAATTATTGTTGATATTATGTATATTGATGGTAAACCTGTACTTCATATTATCGACGAAGCAACACGTTTTAACGCCGCACGTTGGCTCCCTAATATATCTTCAAGTGCAACATGGGATGCCCTACGTGTTGCCTGGATTGATACGTACCTAGGACCACCAGATCTCATTGCAACTGACGCTGGAAAGAACTTTGTGAGTAAGGAATTCTCACAGCTCGCGACATCTATTGGCACCACTGTCAAGAGCGTTCCTATTGAAGCTCATTGGTCAATTGGCATGGTTGAACGCTACCACGCCGTACTACGTCGCGCCTATACCATCATCTCCGACGAATTGCCAGATCTACACCCCGATATGGCACTACAAATGGCCATAAAATCTGTCAACGATACTGCCGGCCCCAACGGCCTCGTACCCACGCTTCTTGTATTTGGTGCCTACCCACGACTTACGCAAAACGACGCACCAGCAATATCAGTTGAACAACGTGCTACTGCACTCAAGAAAGCAACTGCTGAGGTACGAAAATTGTACGCACAACGACAAGTAAGAGATGCACTCAATACCCGTAACGGCCCGTCAACTACGGTGATCCATTCGCTACCACTCAACTCGAACATCCTTGTATTCAGAGAAGGAAATACTGGCTATGCTGGAAAATGGGAAGGCCCATACAAACTATTAGAAGTCAATAACGAGACCTGCACAGTCGCACTTCCAAGTGGCCCAACTCAATTCCGCTCAACCGTTGTAAAGCCATACTATGCCGAGGACATGCCACCTGAGGATATTGCCACTACTCTAGACCATGATAACGCACCTGAACCCCCAACACAAGGAAATGCACTCCTACCGCCATCGACTGTCAAAATCCCCTCTCAACAACCGCAGCGCAACCGTCAACCATCCGCTCAATACCGAGATGACGATTTCGAAGCATATATCAACAATAAGGAGATTACTCAACCTCGAGCTAACTTTGACGAGGTATTGGAACAAACAAGATTTACTGACTCACGCAAGCAAGAGGTGGATGGCCTATTGGAGAGAGATGTCTTCCACTTCGTGCATGAGAATGAAGTTCCCAAAGGTGAACGTATTTTTAACTCACGATTTGTGGATAAGATGAAGAATTCTGGCACCAACAAGGCCTTTGAAAAATCGCAACTTATTGTGCAGGCTTACAATGACGAAGGGAAGGACTTCATATTGACTGAATCACCAACTATACAATGCTGCAGTCAGCATCTGATTCTATGCCTGACTGCCTGTATGGTTACTCACTCCCTATGGCTACGAGACGTTGTTCAAGCGTATATTCAATCGCAAACATATCTTAACCGTGATATCTTCGTACGACCGCCACTAGAACTCGCCATCCTCCTTTCACCAGGCACACTGTTAAAAGTCGTCAAGCCTCTATATAGGATCCCTGAATTAGGCAATCATTGGTTCAACACCTACCATAGCCATCATACAGAGAAACTACAAATGGAGACGTCAACCTACGACCCGTGTCTCCTACATTGTATTGACCCTAGCAATGGCTTTGGCATCGTTGGCATGCAGACTGATGATACTCTTATCCTCGCCGACAACGCCTTCGCTAACCGCGAAGAGAAGGAAATTAAGGCTGCCAAGATACAGTGCAAACCTCGCGAACGACTCTCGCCTACAAACCCGCTGAAATTCAACGGTGGCCTCATCTCGGAGACGGCCCAGGGTATTATGCTTAGCCAAGAACGAACCTGCAAGCTTATACAAATCGTGCAAGAGCAACACGCCGATATGACAAGCTCCCGGGGAAAGATCCGCAAGAACGCATCACCAAAAGAATAATACATATCTCAACGAGCGCTTGGTGCCTATATTGCTTCCTTAACGCAACCGGAAGCCGCATTTGATTATGCCTTCGCAGCACAGAGCACTAATCCACAGAAAGAGGATATCAAATACCTCAACAAGCGCCTGCAATGGCAAATTGACAACCCATACCGCGGCTTGAAGTTTGTCAAACTTAACATCAACACCATCAAACTATACGCCTTTGTTGACGCGGCATTCGCTAATAATAAAGACCTCTCGTCACAAATCGGATTCGTTATTGTACTTGCCGACGCCTCGAACAACGCGAATATTGTATACTGGTCCTCGGTCAAGTGCAAGCGGATAACACGTAGCGTACTAGCCTCGGAGCTATACGCCATGGTCAACGGCTTTGATTTCGCTGCCTCTATCAAAGCAACAGTTACGCAGATTCTACACCTCGAGAATCCGCTCCCGCTAGTGATCTGCACCGATTCAAAGAGCTTATATGACTGCCTTGTGAAACTTGGTACGACACAAGAAAAACGACTCATGATCGATCTCATGTGTCTCCGCCAGTCATACGAACGTCAAGAGATTACGGAAGTCAAATGGATAGATGGCAACAGCAATCCTGCAGACGCCATGACAAAGAGCAAAGCGTGTAGCGCTTTACAGGCTCTTGTTGATACAAATAAACTGCATATCACTGTCGACGGCTGGGTAGAGAGATCCACCACTGTCTAACCACATTTCCTTTTGATTCATTCTTCCTGTATGTATAGAAGGCCTTTATGTATTGTTTACTACACCACTCCCTACACCAATCCCTTGTCTTGCCAATCCGGTGCCGCTCGTTATGTCTTTCCTATTTCTTAGAGAGTTGCCAGTGTCGGAACGTGAATATCAAACCCTACACGTTTCGGCACCGGATATAGTTAGTCCAACGTGGCACGTGCGTACCGCGTATATATATCTAGCTAGTTATCCCCGGTCCCCTTACTCTTGGGGATCAGTCACAATATTAGGAATCAAGATATCTTCATATTGTCAGGCTCATTAGGCCGCTTCGTGTTCGCGCCTTACTACCGTCTATGCTTCGTGATACGGACCGTAGTTAAACCAACACTTATATTTTGACTAGTTGAATCTCAAGAATGCTTCACCACTGAGCATGAGGCCTTTAACTTTAATCTAATCCAGCCCTTTTAAAACTGGAAGCTAGAGCTTCTTTATAGTCATGTAATTAATTTTCTTTATTTAGGTTCAGTCATGCTCGACTAGCGATGACCAAAAATCTTTGATATAATAGAGACAGTAGATAATTTCCTGATAATATCAGCAACAGTCTCATGGCGCTAGGGATAAACGAACCTCATCATACTTCACCGCAACGATTCAAGGAAGGTTGCTAATACTCATCCCATTCCAGAGGCCTAGAATTGGCAGTAAGAAAAAGCCAAACAAATTGAACTATTTTCTAGCTGTGACAGTTGTCGCATCCACTTTTATTTATTTTCCGTCAGTTGAGACAACCATCGCTCTTTGAAGCGAGCACTGGTTTTGATACTAATGGACTCTGCAATACACTTCGCCATCAGTCGATATCGCTTTATTAGCATATTTATCCGTTAATTCCATCTCAAGATCCCGACTGATATCTGATCAAGAGTCAGACCCTAGTAATAATAAATGATAAATCTAGAGCCACTATCTAAATGTAGATCAACTATCATCCACCAGTCATAGGGTGCTAAGAACTCCCTTCCCGCTCTCAGGTGGTGCTGTCGGTGCAGGTACGTACCTATCCAATTGGAAACCCCAGGGAGACGTTACTAGCTATCAGCTGGCTAACTCATAAGAGAGTTTGTGTTCACCTGGCTGCCCCTCAGCGCGCTCATGAGGTTTTCTCTCAAGATGGTCGCGACTACAAAGTCTCAATCTTGACTGTCAAAGATGCGACGCAGTCTCTCCACATTGTCATATTTGTACTCGGAAGGTAGGGCCTATATCTGGCTGATCTCAATCTTTGCTGTGCCCTGAAATTCTAGGCGTCTTTCTCGTGCTAATCGTAGCTCCGTACTACTGAATATAAGACAATTAATATCACCAAGCTCCTACTAGATAATTCACTGACCTTCGTGATTTTCAGGTATCCAGTATCCAAGAAAGACTTTTCTGCTGAGGCTCCAGTTGCTGCCGCATATAATATGTATACCACTTCTTACCAATCCGCAACGATCCTGTCACGGATTGGATTGATTCATCCGATTCAGATCGTTCCTCTTACTAGCAGGTTCAACAATAGACCCAGTAAACCAACCGAATTTTGTCTACTACTATGAGTAAGACCTAGATTAGGCATACGATTCACACCATCTAGAATATGAATACCCACATGGCAGGGCATGAATCCGCACGATGATCGAAAAGCCAGCGTGTTTTACTACTCGCTTCAATTCTTTTCCAATTCCATACTCGAGACCAAACCTGCTGTCACTTTTCAGATCAATCTAAATAGAATTAGCCGGTGCGGCTCCCCCCAAAGTGTAACAACCGACATGCCTATCAAACCTCCTAGGGGTTAGGGTTAGAATAGAGAGTGGCAAAAGTGTGGATACTTCAGCTGGCCATGGTTAATAATGTATTGCCGTGAAACAACATGAATGTCTCTTATATAGAATGCACGTTGCGGAAGCAGAAGAGATAGGTTTCAGTACATTGACATTCCATACCCTACCTTGTGTGCTTAGCCTTCTGCGATCCCTCTCGAACGTAACCATACATACCCTACGTAACGTTGTTACACAAAGCCAGACCAAGCCCCGTGTCCCACGCCCCGTAAAATAGAAAGATGACATTTCTAAACAGATTGGATGGCTACGGTAACTGATCAAGTGACTGGCTACCCTATTGACAACGCCCCAGACACCTTGAATAGTATCAAATATTCTTAAAGCAATCAAACAAAGCGATAAATGAAATAATCTAATAAAGTAATATATTAATACCTAGAACTTCATCATATAGTCGAATTTCCACCTCCTAATGCACCTAGAGCCATGGCTGCAGCATGTTTGTCGTGGACACGGCGTACGAACTGCCTATACTGGCGTAACTCTCTCTTGAAGTTTTTCGCCAGACCGTTTGAGATGCCTGCCTTTATTGCACGTTGATATGCCGGGGTTTTATCGTCTTCCATTTACCTCAACTCTCGTATGGACTAGTCATTTACAAATATGGTCGATTAAGCATCTTCCCATTTCTTCTTCCTATCTTGATTCTTGATCGAGTTGATTTTCCAGGTGAAAAATTTGGTAAGCGTGTCATATTCGTCCTCGTTTGAATCTATCGAACTAGATGACCTCGGGCGTGGTGTTGGCGTAGCGGGAATAGCCTCAAATCGTGCAGGAGTTTTATTAGTTTTAAATGATAACAAAGAAGGACTTGTTATTGATCTTGGAGCCAATGAATAAGTCATTTGATGAGGTGTTTGTGTTAATAAATCGCGCTATTCTCGCAGTAAATGATAACGCTCTTTCTCCTCGGCACGACGTTCTTGTTTTTCCTGCATTGCTTCCATCTATTCCATCAATCTATACTACATTTATTGCTTATATATCTCTGTCTGCATCTCCATAAATTGTTCCATAATCTAGCATTGTTCTTTTTAGCAGGTTGTCGAGAATCTCGGTTTATCAAATTGTTGGTTTAACTACGGTCCGTATCACGAAGCATAGACGGTAGTAAGGCGCGAACACGAAGCGGCCTAATGAGCCTGACAATATGAAGATATCTTGATTCCTAATATTGTGACTGACTCCTAAGAACGAGGGGGAGTGTGTGTGTGTGTGTGTATATTTAACGGCCGTGGTTCGTGACTTGCACGCTTCCCACCGATCCCTACTGGGACATAGGCCGCCGAGGGGTAAGCCTCGGGCTTCAGGTTCTATCAGATTTATATACAAATAAGAGACTCTTTGGCGCATTTCCATAGCTGCCGTGGTCTTAAAGGGAGATCCACTTCCTAGTGGGTTTTGGGTATTTGCCAGCTGCAATGGTCCACCTACGCTCCATGACCCATCATTCTACCACCATCATACTTAAGCAGTGAGTTTGAAAAGAAAAAGGGAAGAAGGAAAGAAGAAAAGAAAGAAAGAAAAAGAACAAAGGAAAAGAGAGATATAAGGGGGAAAGTAGGGCTGACTTAGCTAGGTGCTAAGAGAGGTTGGCGAGGACAGATATCCTCAAAGAAACGGGTCTCTGCTAGCCATGAGGCTAGTTTTCGTGTTCCTTTCGCAGTACTTAAAAGAAAAGAGATAGCTTTAGAAGGGGGTCCAGGTGGACGAGGGGCTCATCTCTTAGCTATATAGTAGAAGAAGAAATGTAGAGGTGCTTTTTGTGCTTCACATCGACAGAGAAGATAAGCATCATCATGATTAAAGCGCTCATGGTAATCCGCAAAGTCTCCATAACCAGTATGGGCCGCTATGATACGGCCAAGGTCAAGTCAGTTAAGTTAAAGCTCTCCAGGGTGTTTAGGAGATGTAGTTATTTCTAGATCTTAGTATGTCTGTGGTGCTACAGTCTGTCACCGTGTCTGAGCAGCGGAAAGAGATTGAGTCTTGGTGTATCTCTTTAGCGAGGCATATGAGGACTTGTATGGAGAGGGGGGGATAGAGACAGCTCCTTCCTTAGTAGCAAGATCAGCTGCTTTATTCTTAGGGATTTTAGTGTGTCTAGGGACCCATCGGATTTGGATTGATCCACTTTTGGTGTATGGAAGCCTTTCGCGTAGTGGCCAGGCGGCTGTAAGGGTGCGAAAGGATTCAAAGACCTCTTGAGAGGATCCTATAGAGGGGGATAGGAGGCGCATGGCAACTTCCAGGTTGTCAAGACAGATCCATAGGTTGGTAGCAAATTGAGCTGTTGGGTATGCTATTGCTGCTTGAGCACCAGCTAGGGCAGCTTCTGCTTCTGTGTTAAAGACCTCTTTCCCATGTCCGTATAAGAGTGAGGAGCAGAGGAACTGATGGTGTGCTTGAATTCCAATATAGCTACCCCCTGCACGTCCATCTATCAGCCTAGATCCATCTGAAAAGATTACAATATCTAAGCTAGGGATGGTGCGTTGAAAAGCCATGAAATCAGCCACTGCCTATTCCTTAGTGCGTTCCATGGGAGCTCCTATTCAGGCTAGGGCACTCTTACGTGACTTATGAGGGTACCAGGGAGCATGTTATAGAGGGTTTATTTGTTCAGAGTTAGGGAGCGCCAGCACTCGGCAGGCAAATCGACTGGTTTGTCAGCCGTCTCTGGCTATCTGTTCTGCGCGTCTTCAGAGTGGGTGGTATAGATCAAGACGCCATAGGCGGACCGATGTTTGAAGGGCTATTTGATCTAGTTCAATTTCTGACAGAGAGAATCCAGACTCTCGGTATAGAACAGATATTGGGGTTATGCGGAAAACTGGAAGGACTGCTCTTGCGCCTGCTAGTATTACTTTGGTTAGTTTCTCAAGATGTTCTCTAACTCAATTTGAAATTTAGGAAGGCTCAGGGCGAGTACGTCCTGGCCACCAGGTTTCTACGCTATAGTATGCTTTATAGAGTACATAGGCTGATACAGCCTGCTGTAGTAAATAAGGTTTGACTCTATGGATAGTATTCCCTAGAGAGCGAAGGGCATTAGCCACAGTGAGGGCTTTAGATACTGTTTCACTAACATACCATTTAAATGTTAGCTTTTTGTCAAAGAGAATTCCTAGCCAACGTAGATATAGCCGTTTAGTATTTTCTGAGATTATGATAGATCCAGCTTTTACTGAAGGTGTGCAGGTTGGGTCCTGGTCTGCTTTATGTCAGGAGAAGTGAAGAAGCTTGTATTTATCTGGTGCAAATGTAATGTTCTCTGCAGCGCCCCAGTTTAGGGCTTCTTGTAGTGAGTCTGATAATGCTTTGCAGTTAGTAGCAAGAGATGTTGAGATTGCCAGGTTAGCTGCGTTGTCTGCGTAACCAAATCTGTTCCTTGGGTTTTCTAGACGGAATAGGGGCGCTATGTAGAGCATGAAAAGAATGCCAGATACTGGGGATCCTTGTGGAAGACCGCAGGCAATGTCTGTTGAGGGGCCAATCTCTCTATTGAGTCAGATCTGGACTGATCGCCCAGTAGCAAAGGAGGCAATCCAGAGAACAAGATTAGTGGGCCAGCCCTGCTCACATAATCTGCGGATGAGTCTACCGGGAAGCACGGCATTAAAAGCGCCCTTAACATCTAGGGTAAGGAGTGAGGTAGTCATGCCTTGATTTAGTGCTTGTTCAACATCATGTGTTAGGCATGTAGTTAGATCATTTGCAGATCTTAGTGGGAGAGCCCTAAACTGTTGCCTTGCTAATACTTTGTAGTGTATAGAGATCCATGCCATATTCCATGCCATCAAGCGCTCAAGTCCTTCGCCAAGAACTGATAGGAGAGCGATTGGTCTATATAATCTAGGTGAGGACCAATCAGTCTTTTTTGATTTCTAGATAATTGCTAAGATTGCATGTCAAAAGCATTTCGGGTGATAACCAATCTTTAGACACCCTTAATATAACATTAGTACCTTGTCCTTGATCAGAGGCCATGCCACTTTGAGTATGCAGGTTGGGATTTTGTCTGAGCTAGGGGCTGTGTTTCCTGCCTGAAGTACTGACTCCTCCACCTGTGCCATTGTTATATCTAGGAAGTAGAGACTAGTGGTAGGGACTGCTGGGGAGTCCAGCGGTATGTCTCTTGCCTCAGCCGAGTTTTGGAGAAGATTACGGACTAGTACGTCTCGTTTCTCATGTATAGTAACTGCTGGGAAGCTATTGGGTCTCAGTGGATCCTTCAGTGGAGGGCTTCGGAAGGTGCCTATAGACTTATGCTATTTACTCATATCAAAGACATCCTTCATTTGTGTTGCCATAGAGAGCTTATCTTGCCAAAATTGTCGTTAAGACCATCTTGTTATCCTGCGGAAGTCTGTCTTTGAGTAGAGGCCTAAGTGATAATTGTGTAAAGCTTTCTTGCAGTCTTTATTCCACCATGGTTGTTCTATGCCTTGTGTTATGGTCCTCTTAGCAGAGCCTCTATATGCTCCTTGAATTGCAGATGTCAGTTTTTCAGCAAGGGCATCAAGATCTTCTTCTGTTACGGCTGAGCTCTCGGTGCTAGCGAGATTAGAGGCGAGGAGCGAGAGGAAGGAGGTGTGGTCTAGTGTGTCAAATCTCAGTTTCTGGGCTGTTTCCTTGTATCTCTGATCCCATGGAACAGTGGTGATTAGTGGTTGATGATCTGAGGTTGCATCTAAGTGGCTCGCTATGCTAGCTTTGGCTCCTGCGAGTGCCAGAGGGCTTGAGGCGAAACTGAGGTCTAACACGTTACCCCTTTCATGTGTGGGACAGTCTATGTCAGAAATGAGTACTAGACCCTGGAGATCCAGCCAGTTGATAAACAGCTCTGCAAAAGTTGTAGGGCTATGTTGTAGCGAGGGTTGCCATCTGTTGTGTAGTAGGTTGAGATTGCCTGCAAGTATCGTTGTTTGAGGGAAATACACCTCTGGTAGGGTTGTGAGAGCTTTCGCAGCTTCACCTACTCTGCTGCAGCCTGCTGGGGCATTATAGATATTAACTATCAGAGCAGACTTTCCTGTGGGCGAAAAAATCTGAAGGAACAGGAGATCCGAGGCTTCTTTAGTGTTAGTTGTAAAGGGGCGTAGCTAGGAGGTCTGGATGCCTTTCTTCTTTTGGACATAGGTGAGGACTCGTGGTTGGCCACTTATTGCCCAGCTATCAGTTAGGGAGAAGCATTCATATGATGGATGTTTTTTAGTGATCTGTTGGCTGAGGTCTTTGAATGTATATAGTTCTTAGATTAGGATAATATCAATGTCGCTAGTGTATGTCAATGTGAGGGCTATTTCATGTGCGTCTGGCGCGTGCCCTACATTTAACTATAGGATTTTGAGAGGCGCCTTTTGAGTTAGATAGTGATAGATTATAGCTCCTGTTCAAGAAGAGAGGCGAACTGGTTTTATGGTTAAGGGGTTATAAAATGGACTGCACGAGCTGTAATGGGAGGATCTTCAGTTGGGGCGCGAGGTGGGGGGGTTACTGAACGGAAAGGAGAGATAATCTCATGGATTAAAGGCTATAATGGCATCTCATCTAATACCATAGGTGTTTCTTGTGTGTCTATGGAGAGCTGAGAGCTACATCCTTCTTCAGTTCAAGCTTTTGCAAGGTTTATGGCGCAGGATTTGCGGATCTCTGTTTGTTGAGCTTTAGTATGTTTAGTATTGCCTTTGGGGCGTAGAAGGTATTCAGTGAAATCAGCTAGATATGGTCTATAGCAGTGTATGCATCTAGGAGGGCATTGATGAGGCTCTGGGGCTATGCAGCAGTTGACATGGCCCTCTTCAGTATACTCTGAGGAGCCGTATAGTCGGTATTGAGAGGGGCGTGCACAGGATTGTGCATTATACCATTTCTAGTATCGTGTGCATTGAATAACTGTTGTTTTCTTAGAGAGGTGATGAGCATTGATGATAGTGCCAAAAAGATGTAGCTGGATAGGCAGTAGTAATTTCGTGCCTTCTGGGAAGTTGACAAACCAGCTTGAGGAGAGAGTATCAGGGTTGGCAGCGCTCATAGTAGTCTTACTAATAGATATAGGCTTGAGCCCTGTAGTTTCGCTAATTTCCAAGGATAGTAGTGTAGGATTGACAGGGATTAGAGAGTATTAACCATCCAAGATTTGGCCAATTTTCCTTGGCACGTTGGTGACTCGGTACGAGACCCATCGGGAGCTGCGTTCTATCTGGCAGTTAACAAAGAATGCAGAGATAGTCTCTTTTTGGGCCTCAAGAGCTAGGAGGGCTTCTAGAGATGAGGGGCATAGTGCAAAGCCAGTCTTTGTAGCTTAGACTTCTTTTAGTGCTGCACTATTTAAGTTTAGTTAAGATCGTAGGCTAGAGTAGATAGCATAGGCTTCCATTTTTCTGGCTGCATGGTCAGCTAGGAGGCGTACGAAGAGCCAGATGTCAGGAAGGGGTTGTTTCACCAGAGGCATAGGCTTTTTGATGGAGGCTTTAGAGTGAGTGATGGGAGTTGATTTGACCGGGGCATATTAGGTAATAGTCGCATAAGTTGACTGGTTAAGACCTGAGGGGGGACGTGAGGGAGGGGGTGAAGGGGGTAAGGGATTTGGGATGGGAGAAGAGGAAGGGGAGGGAGACTAGGCAGGTAGAATGGAGGTCATCAAGATACCGCTGATATAAGCGTTGAAATGTTGTTGAGCTACCAAGGCGAGGTCATCGCTTAGAGCGGTGAGTGCTCTCAGTAGGTGAGGAGCAAGGCCGGTGGTTTGGCTGCGGTATTTATCAAGGAATACAGCTATGGGGCTGAAGATCTTCTGTCCTTCAGAAGCTCTTGTTGTGGCTGCAGACATGGATTCCAGAAGGGCTGTCTGTAGAGGGCCATCTGTACCAGGGCCTTTACGCGCCATGGTGTTGCCGGGCGCGTTGAGACGCGTCAAAGGCTGCACTCCTGGGAGCTAGGTGGTAGAGAGGGTTGAGGATTTTGAGCCTCCGACTGTTTGATATAAATAATTATAAGGAAGTCGCCTATCAACTCGAAAAATTAGTGTGACCAGTGTGACGGTCAGTAATTAAGTGTGTGTGTGTGTGTATATATTTAACGGCCATGGTTCGTGACTTGCACGCTTCCCACCGATCCCTACTGGGACATAGGCCGCCGAGGGTTAAGCCTCGGGCTTCAGGTCCTATCAGATTTATATACAGATAAGAGACTCTTTGGCGCATTTCCATAGCTGCCGTGGTCTTAAAGGGAGATCCACTTCCTAGTGGGTTTTGGGTATTTGCCAGCTGCAATGGTCCACCTACGCTTCATGACCTATCATTCTACCACTATCATACTTAAGCAGTGAGTTTGAAAAGAAAAAGGGAAGAAGGAAAGAAGGAAAGAAAGAAAGAAAGAACAAAGGAAAAGAGAGATATAAGGGGGAAGTAGGGCTGACTTAGCTAGGTGCTAAGGAGAGGTTGGCGAGGACAGATATCCTCAAAGAAACGGGTCTCTGCTAGCCATGAGGCTAGTTTTCGTGTTCCTTTCGCAGTACCTAAAAGAAAAGAGATAACTTTAGAAGGGGGTCCAGGTGGACGAGGAGCTTGTCTCTTAGCTATATGGCAGAAGAAGAAATATAGAGGTGCTTTTCATGCTCTACACCGACAGAGAAGATAAGCATCATCATGATTAAAGTGTTCATGGTAGTCTGCAAAGTCTCCATGACCAGTACGGGCCACAATAATACGGCCAAGGTCAAGTCGGTTGAGTTGAAGCTCCCTAGGGCGCTTAGGAGAAGTAGTTATTTCTAGATCTTGATAACTCTGTGGTGCCACCTTCTGCCATTGTGACTGAGCAGCGGATAGGGATTGAGTCTTGGCGTGTCTCTTTAGCGAGGCGTATGAGGATTTCTGAGGAGCAGGAGGGGTTGAGGCAGCTCCCTCTTTGGCAGCAAGATCAGCCGCTTCGTTCTCAGGGATTTTAGCGTGTCCAGGGACCCATCGGATTTGGATTGATCCACTTTTGGTGTGTGGAAGCCTTTCGCGTAGTGGCCAGGCGGCTGCAAGGGTGCGGAAGGATTCAAAGACCTCTTGGGAGGATCCTGTAGAGGGGGATAGGAGGCGCGTGGCAACTTCCAGGTTGTCAAGGCAGATCCATAGGTTGGTAGCAAATTGAGCTGTTGGGTATGTTATTGCTGCTTGAGCACCAGCTAGGGCAGCTTCTGCTTCTGTGTCAAAGACCTCTTTCCCATGTCCGTATAAGAGTGAGGAGCGGAGGAACTGATGGTGTGCTTGAAATCCAATATAGCCACCCCCTGCACGTCCGTCTATCAGCCTAGATCTATCTGAAAAGATTACAATATCCAAGCTAGGGATGGTGCGTTGAAAAGCCGTGAAATCAGCCGCTGCCTGTTCCTTAGTGCGTCCCATAGGAGCTCCTATTCGGGCTAGGGCACTCTTGCGTGACTCACGAGGGTACTAGGGAGCATGTTGTAGAGGGTTTATTTATTCAGAGTTGGGGAGCGCCAGCACTTGGCGGGCAAATCGACTGGTTTGTCAGCCGTCTCTAGCTATCTGTTCTGCGCGTCTTCGGAGTGGGTGGTATGGATCAAGACGCCATAGGCGGACAGATGTTTGGAGGGCTATTTGATCTAGTTCAATTTCTAGCGGAGAGAATCCAGACTCTCGGTATAGAACAGATATTGGGGTTGTGCGGAAAACTGGAAGGACTGCTCTTGCGCCTGCTAGTATTACTTTGGTTAGTTTCTCAAGATGTTCTCCAACTCGATTTGAGATTTAGAAAGATCCAGGGCGAGTACATCCTGGCCACCAGGTTTCTACGCCATAGTATACTTTATGGAGTACACAGGCTGATACAGCCTGCTGTAGTAAATGAGGTTTGACTCCACAGATAGTATTCCCTAGAGAGCGAAGGGCATTAGCCACAGTGAGGGCTTTAGATGCTGTTTCACTAACATGCTATTTAAACGTTAGCTTTTTGTTAAAGAGGATTCCTAGCCAGCGTAGATATAGCCGTTTAGTATTTTCTGAGATTATAATAGATCCAGCTTTTACTGAAGGTGTGCAGGTTAGGTCCTGGTCTGCTTTATGTCGGGAGAAGTGAAGAAGCTCGTATTTATCTGGTGCAAATGTAATGCCCTCTGCAGCGCCCCAGTTTAGAGCTTCTTGTAGTGAGTCTGATAATGCTTCGCAGTTAGTAGCAAGAGATGTTGAGATTGCCAGGTTAGCTGCGTCATCTGCGTAACCAAATCTGTTCCTTGGGTTTCCTAGACAGAATAGGGGCGCTATGTAGAGCATGAAAAGAATGCCAGATACTGGGGATCCTTGTGGGAGACCGCAGGCAATGTCTATTGAGGGGCCAATCTCTCCATCAAGTCGGATCTGGACTGATCGCCCAGTAGCAAAGGAGGCAATCCAGAGAACAAGATTAGTGGGCCAGCCCTGCTCACGTAATCTGCGGATGAGTCTGCTGGGAAGCACGGCATCAAAAGCGCCTTTGACATCTAGGGTAAGGAGTGAGGCAGTCATGCCTTGATTTAGTGCTTGTTCAACATCATGTGTTAGGCATGTGGTTAGATCATTTGCAGATCTTAGTGGGAGAGCCCCAAACTGTTGCCTTGCTAATACTTTGTAGTGTATAGAGATCTATGCCATATTCCGTGCCACCAAGCGCTCCAGTCCTTTGCCAAGTACTGATAGGAGAGCGATTGGTCTATATGATCTAGGTGAAGACCAATCAGTCTTTTTTAGTTTCTGGATAATTGCTAAGATTGCATGTCGAAAGCATTTTGGGTGATAACCAATCTTTAGGCATCCTTGGTATAACATTAGTACCTTGTCCTTAATCAGAGGCCATGCCACTTTGAGTATGCAGGTTGGGATTTTGTCTGAGCTAGGGGCTGTGTTTCCTGCCTGAAGTACTGACTCCTCCACCTGTACCATTGTTATATCTGGGAAATAGAGACTAGTGGTGGGGACTGCTGGGGAGTCCAGCAGTATGTCTCCTGCCTCAGCCAAGTTTTGGAGAAGATTACGGACTAGTACGTCTCGTTTCTCATGTATAGTAGCTGCTGGGAAGCTGTTAGGTCTCAGTGGATCCTTCAGTGGAGGGCTTCGGAAGGTGCCTGTGGACTTATGCCATTTGCTCATATTGAAGACATCCTTCATTTGTGTTACCGTAGAGAGCTTATCTCGCCAAAATTGTCGTTGAGACCATCTAGTTATCCTGCAGAAGTCTATCTTTGAGCAGAGGCCTAAGCGGTAATTGTGTAAAGCTTTCTTGTAGTCTTCATTCCACCATGGTTATTCTATGCCTTGTGTCATGGTCCTCTTAGCAGAGCCTCTATATGCTCCTTGAATTGCAGATGTCAGTTTTTCAGCAAGGGCATCAAGATCTTCTTCTGTTGCGGCTGAGCTCTCGGTGCCAGCAAGATTAGAGGCGAGGAGCGAGAGGAAGGAGGTGTGGTCTAGTGTGTCAAATCTCAGTTTCTGAGCTGTTTCCTTGTATCTCTGATCCCATGGTACAGTGGTGATTAGTGGTTGATGATCTGAGGTTGCATCTAAGTGGCTCGCTATGCTAGTTTTAGCTCCCGCGAGTGCCAGAGGGCTTGAGGCGAAACTGAGGTCTAACACGTTGCCCCTTTCATGTGTGGGACAGTCTATGTCAGAGATAAGTACTAGACCCTGGAGGTCCAGCCAGTTAATGAATGGCTCTGCAGAAGTGTGGGGCTGCGATGTAGCGAGGGCTGCCACCTGTTGTGTAGTAGTTGAGATCGCCTGCGAGTATCGTTGCTTGAGGAAATATGCCTCTGGCAGGGTTGCAAGAGCTTTCGCGGCTCGCCTGCTCTGATGGAGCCTGCTGGGGCATTATAGATGTTAACTATTAGAGCGGACTTTCCTGTGGGCGAAAAAATCTGTAGGAATAGGAGATCCGAGGCCTCTTTGGTGTCAGTTATGAAGGGGCGCAGCTGGGAGGTCCGAATGCCCTTCTTCTTTCAAACATAGGTGAGAACTCGTGGTCGGCCACTTATCGCCCAACTGTCAGTTGGGGAGAAGCATTCATATGATAGGTGTTTTTTTGTGATCTGTCGGCTAAGATCTTTAAATATATATAGTTCTTGGATTAGGATAATATCAATGTCGCTTGTGTATGCCAATGTGAGAGCTATTTTATGTGCATCTGGCGCGTGCCCTACATTTAACTGTAGGATTTTAAGAGGCGCCTTTTGAGTTAGATAGTGATAGATCATAGTTCCCGTTCGAGAAGAGAGGCGAACCGATTTTGTGATTGAGGGGTAGTAAAGCGGACTGCGCGAGCTATAATTGGGGGATCTTCTGTTGGGGCGCGAGGTGGAGAGGTTACTGAACGGAAAGGAGAGATAATCTCATGGGTTGGAGGCTGAGTTGGCATCTCGTCTAGTGCCATAGGTGTTTCTTGTGTGCCAATGGAGAGCTGAGTGCTACATCCTCCTTCAGTTCGAGCTTTTGCAAGGTTAATAGCACAGGATTTCTGGATCTCTGCTTGTTGAGCTTTAGTATGTTTAGAGTTGCCTTTAGGGCGCAGGAGGCATTCTGGGAAATCAGCAGGATGTGGTCCATGGCAGTGTATGCATCTGGGAGGGCACTGATAAGGCTCCAGGGCTGTGCAGCGGTTAACATGTCCCTGTTCAGTATGCTCTGAGGAGCCGCAGAGCCGGCATTGAGAGGGGCGGGCACAGGATCGTGCATTATGCCATTTCCAGCATCGTGTGCATTGGATAACTGTTGT